ATATTCAATGTCCTGTTCAGATGATGAAACCATAACTGCAGCAGCCATACTTTATAGTGAGTATACATTTCTGTGGCTTTAGTCAAAGATAAATCGGGAAAAACAACAACGTAGCGCGAACCTCCTTAAGCCGGTTCCTTTCACAGCTAAGCAGCCCAAAATCTCCAGTATTACTGGATGGGGACCAAAATAGAGTCAATGAATCTTTTTATGTTTCTCCTAAGGGCTATGCTACGCATATATATGCCTATAAATATCTGATCACGGTTTGTCCTTGTGGGAGAACTACCACTACCTCCACTGAGCTCCGCAGCATGGGTCAACCCGTCTGTCCCAGTTATCAGGAAGGACATGTGGGCTGTTTACCAGGTGATGAGTTAGTCCGGCCCGGGTGGCGTCCCTCCGGTGACCGTCGCTCCCGGCGGTGCCATCTTTTCAACATCCAACTCTTCCTGTGGCGCTTTGTCAGTGGAATGAAAGGTATTTCCTCTGAGTCACCGCTCTGCTCTTTTTCAGTCAACCCAGGCCTTAAAGACCTATGGGACACAATGACAGCTGGCCACTCTTAATTCTAGCCTTTTCCTCTCTATAAAACTGGATTTTTTTTCCCTCCTGCATTATGCTTACCGTATGCTGGCCTACTTCGGCGACATCATTTCCACAGGGTCTTTTTTTTTTTTTCTGTTGCGAGTTTCAAGTGGTAGCGGCAAGCTGTGAGAGACACACATAGCCAGACCGCTAACCCATTTCCAACTGTTGAGTTTAAGTGGAACGTGGCGTTCTAATATTCAGGTTACATGCATTCGGCAACAGCATGAACATCAACAAGGTTCTGGTGTAAATGGGGACGAATATGTGGCAACATTTCTGTCAGACTTTGTGGAGTTCATCGACATTTCTTTGTCTCCTGCCTCAGATTCTGTCCTTGACCTTTCAGCAGGGTTGAGGTTGGAGCTTAGCGTCAGCATGCTTCATCGATTCAAACAACCAAATGCGTTCAAGTTTCAAACACCTGATCCAAACTTACCAAAGGTTTTGTGGTCAGGTGAGACAAACATCAAATTTGAGACGTATATTTGGAGGATTCTGTACCAGTTGTAAGACATGTTGGTGGCAGCATCATGCTGCGTACCTACAAAAACTTCCAATTCATCAAATAGCAACAACCTGATAGTGAATCTTAAAAACAGACGCTTAAACTTTTGAAATGGAATATATTAAGCTTCCTGGATGGCCTAGTCCAAGGGTCAGCAGCCTTTTCAATTCAAAGAGCCACTTTTGCCATCGGCACTACAAAATGAAATTTTGTCGCTAAAAATGCAAAAGACAAAAAAGAAATGTTTGATCATAACACCTCTTTTTCTTATTATTATTGGTATTATGATTGGTATTAAATATGTCTTAGTTGGCTTTTAAGAGCCACAGTACAGGGGCCAAAGAACCACATGTGGGTGAAGACCCACGCCTAGTCCAACCCCAGATCTATTTTCTTTTACAAATTTGTGGATCATTATTAAAAACTGGGTGTGTGGCAGGAGACTGTGTAAAACGATTGGAAACCCAAAGAGAAAATGGGTCAAATAGTTAAGCTTGAATTATGGGAGGCTTGTTGGTTAATACAAGTGTACGGTCAAGTGTGATCTAATAAGGGATTGTAAATCACTTGTTGCTGCCTTCTCCAGTCCAAGAAATCAGTTTTAATGAAGGTTGTCTTTCATCCTAAAGCCATTTCCCAGCAGTTTGCCCTCCCAAGCCGTCACAGAGCCTCTCTCTTGACTGCTCACAATTCCTGTTGACACAAACCAGACGACGAGTTTAACTCATTGTTTTTCTGTCCAGATTAGAAGAAACAGAAACAGAGCAGATAGCCAAAGGAGCAAGTTCAAGTTCATCTGCGGCACTTTTATCAAAGAGAAGCTTAGTCAACGCATTGGAAAAGTATCCACACCCACTGAATTTTTTTTCTTTTGATTTAATGAGGAGCAGCAACAGCAAATGAGGTGGATAACAGCTGATGATGTCAGTCACCGTGATGTAGTCCAATACAGTCAGACTAATTGCTTATTCCATTAAAAGGTATGTATTGTGTTTTCCAGCCACATAGTGCCATTTTATAGTACAATAAAGTAACTATTATTATCTTCAGTCATTCTAGAAGTGCTGAATGTATAAACATGGGTCCTCTTTAACAACGTTTTCACCAGCATTGCACAGAGAAGTAGTTCCTATAATGATCTCAGTAGATGTGCGGTTCCACCAGGTGTTTGCTAACTGCTGCTGGCTAGTCTGAAGGAGCTGAGTCTGGAGTCGTAGGACACGGCTGCTCTGTGAGACTGAAGCTCGGACACTGCAGCTTTGAGGAGGAGCTACGTCTCGAAGGCGGAGCTAGGTCCACCCAGTCGTTTTGCACAGCTGAGTGGTTGCCATGGAGATTAAAGGATTTCTCAAACATGCATAAAAGAATCAAGGCAATACACAGGGTGTGCTTTTATGAGGGAATAATATTATAACATGATGCAAAGCTCAAAGAAAGTTGATATTACATAATACTGCCCCTTTAATGTCAATTTCACTTTAAATTTCTATAGTAACTACTTTTGTTTCAGCAAAGCAAAGATCCATTTTCAGGTTGGGGAAATGATCATATTCATTTAAAACTTACTTTGATCCCAATTCGAATCCAACAGAAAAATATCTAAAGTTTGCAAGTTTCCTCCTAATTGACAATGTAAAACTCTGGTGTTAGTTGTAACAAAACTATTAGCCGAGATCGCTTAGCCAATGAAAATGCATGTTCCTGTTAATAATTGCTATTTCCCTTTTAAAGCAGAAGAAATCTGGTGTCTTACAGTCACATGTCAGGAACACAGCTTCGCCTCTTCACACAGATGTGATGTCACATTACTTTTAGTGAATCAGTCTTAACTTCCTGTAATCCTGGCTCGTTTTAGTCCCATTATCACAATGTCTAACTCAGGAATGTCTGAGAGCGAAGACTGGAGGATGAAATAAAGCGTAAGCGAGTTCTATTAACGGTTAATGGCAGCTGATGAGCGTCAAAGCGGCTCTGGACCATTGAAAAGGCCATGACTGATAAACCAAGACGATGATGATGTGTAATTTCCACAGATGGTGAAGGTCCTGCTTCTTTATCTGCTGGTCTGATTCCAGAATGAAGCATAGGCGCAAAATCCAAAGGAAACTCAGTCTTTTTTAATACTTATATCTGAGTCAGTGACCAGTAAATGTGGAATCTTTTACAAAGATTCACCCTTAACGATTTTTGTGGAATTAAGCTCGATATCAAAACAGAAACTTGGACCTGAAGCTTACCCGTGCCTTTCTAACTACCAAAGGAAGTGTCCATCTGGCCATGCAGCCTCCCTAAACTCAGATAAGCGTTAATGAAAGCCCATTAAGGGTCAGAGTTCCCCAACCTGATTATTTGGGGTCGCCAGGAGCTCTGACTCCTGACACGGCTCCCTCTGTCCCGCGCCAGATAAGCCTCGGCTGCGATAACGCCGCTCTGCTCAAGGCCGCCACCGCAGGGAGGGAGGGGAGTTTAATTGGCTCATTTGTACTGAGAGGAACTTGAATGAAGTCTGATCAGAGAGAAAAAAAAAGTTAAATAAAATAACAGGTTTGGTCAAAGCAACTGAGTATTCAGTGCCTTTATTGAAGATTCAGAACTTTAGTGACTCATTAAATACATTTAAAAAAAAAAACAGCAACATAAAAGCCCATTAAAAAACACATTAACTAGACTTTGGCTGCCTTTGCATTGATTCAGCAGTTTTGAAGATGAGTTAAATTTCAGCACTGTTTTGGACTGTGTAATTTATTACTTCTTTAAACTTCATTTCATTGATGAACTGGTCGAAGGTAGCCAAATTTCTTGAGGCTGAGCATGCTGGAGCTACCAATGAGAAGAGTTGAAACCTTAAGATGTCACAGTGCTCATTTGCATAATGATACAGAAATGCATAGGTAAAGTACAAAGAGGAGGCAGAAGAATATAAAACAGAACTAATGGAAGGAAAAGGAGTTGTGGCAAATTGAAAAGACACAAATGCTTTAAGTAGAAGAAAACACACAATAAATAAATAAAAATCTGTAACCTTAAATTGTGTGGTTAAAAATACCACTTGTTGCAAGCTGACAAAATAAAAATGAGTCAAATTATAAAACATGAGGTAAAGTTCTCCTTTTTTAAATTAATCTGTGCATTTGAAGTTCATAGGTCTATTTATTGAGTCACTTATACATTTCTGCTTCTATTTTTAATTATGTTTTGGTCCTCCATACAAAGCCCCATGCAACAACTGCAAGGACGTAGGAGTGTAAACAATGGATTTTAAAATTGTATTTAGTTTACAATTTCCCTTTGCTTCTTAGATTCCTCAAGTTACATATGAGATTAAAGATAAAAAAAACGTGGAAAATCATTTGATGTCTAATTTCTTTTCATCACCCCAGAATAGGCATTTTAATATGAGTGTGAGATTCACTGTACTCACTTTAATTCACTAAATTGCTTTATCTGGGATTTAAACTCAATATTTCCTGTGATCTAAAGCCACTTTAATGTCATGAAATGTCATGAGTTATATTTGGATTTTTCCAGATAAATTAGAATATATATATAAATATATATTAAGGGGGAAATTAAATTCTAAGGGAAGTACAGGGTCTTTGCTTGTTTTTAATAGTTTTATGCAAGTTACAAGCCATGTCTACTATGGCTATAAATACATTTTATTTGATTTAATTAATCAGACATAAATATCTGATAAAAACAAAACAAAAACAAATAAATAATGAAAAGCAAGTTCGCCTTTCAGTGTTTTTTTTTTTCATTCAACACTCCTGCTGTTACCCTTCTTAAGTATATGGCAATTCAGTGCTTCTAATGTTACTTTTTTTTAAATTTATTTTATTTGGTTAAACTGCGGGGGGAAAGTAGGAAAGTTTCAAGAGCGACGTCATTTTTTAAAAACTGAATGGCATCACCGGGCTCTGATTGGCCGCCGCTGCCGCGAGCGCCGGAGTCCGAGAGAGGGGGGCGTGTCTGGGGCGCCGTATATGAGCGGCTGTCCTCCTGTCCACCGGCAGAAGGAAACGCTCTCACACAGCAGCAGCAACAGGAGCTCCTCCTGGAGGTTACACACTAACAGAGAGCCGCCTCCGCTTCTCCTGCCCCAGCGGACCCACTCGGACTCCAGCAGAGTTTATTTCTTCCAGCAGCAGCACAGAGAGGAGCGGAACTTTTTCGACATGCGGTCTGTGTACCAGCACCTCGTCAGCCTGCTGTTCGTCTTCAACAGCCTGCGGCTCCCTCAGCTGACCGACGGCTGCTCGTGCGCGCTCACGCACCCGCAGGACGCCTTCTGTAACTCCGACATAGGTGAGTCATTAATTGCGCGGCCTTTGTTGCTTGCTTCGGTGTTTTATTAGCACGAGGAAACGCTCAGGTCAAAGTGACGCATGACGGCGCGAGGAGGACAGAACGCACGTGAGCTTTGGTACCCAGTGGAAAACTTGCAGGTCGAGTATCACAGCTTATGTCCTGTTATTTGTCCTACAGTATGTAGTAATTTTACTATTCATGGGAGACCTATTGCATTAAGCGACGCAGATAACTTCATAGGTAAGTCAGGTTTTTAAAAATGGTTATGGCTCTCTACCCAGGGCGGCATAAAATAAAGGTTTTTTTGGGGGCGGGGTTGCAGGGATACATTTGTGGTGAAATGACCATCTGATGTTAATATTGCCATTACGGCAGAAAACTGATATTTACAGATATTGCATGTATAGTATAACATCTACCGGTCAAATGAACGTTGGTTGTTAATGCCGGCTTTCTTTTATTTATCGGACTGATACCAACATGTCAGCCGATACTGATATTAGTGCTAATATATTGCGTACACCTATTTTTATGACTTGCTCCTCTGCAGTCAAAGATAAGTGGACTTCTCCTGCCTTATATTGTTGGTATTTGTTGTGATTGGCTGCTAAATTAGATTAATCTGTTTCACCGGTTTTAAGATGTTTGTGACAAAAAATGTTCATTGGACTTATTTTTTTGTGTAATGTCAAACATTAATATTTTTGAGTAATAATATCCTTGCTATTATTGGGCCGGATAGTAAAAACATTGCTGTTAATTGAGCAGAGAGAGGTTAGTTTGGGGGAGTATACAAAGGACGATTAGGAGGTGGTAAGTTTTAAAATTGCACCTATGGGCTGCTCTCATGTTTTTACAAGATCCTCATTTGTCTGCACATGGTGGTATTTCTGTGATGGGCAGCCAGACATCGCCGAGCAGCGGTACAACGGGGGTGGGAAGGTCACACAGCTGGTTTTACTACCTGGATATGCTTACCCTGGCAGCCCAGAATAATATGAACTCGGGATCTGGCTTAGCACTAGGATTAGGCGATTGAACCCCGGGGGGAATGAGGCCGTGTGTAGGTGGGCGGGGAGGTGGGGGGCTGTGTGAGGGAACTGAGGTAATTCAGACAGGACACACTCTCACATTTCACCTGGAGTTTTATTCCTTTCAGGCATGAAACCAGAGATTCCATCAGTATGGTTACCTTAAGATTATCTTTTTGCTTCTATTTAAAACGTAAGAGAAACACTTGATTATTACACTATAAATAATGTTAAGCTATCGTTAGTTTGTACATTAGTAGTACTTTTTAAAGCCTTTGAATTTTACTCTGATGTGTGAACAAACAAACCAACACTCTTTCCAAATGCCAGATCAATAGCAGTGTACCACAGTAGAGGTGTTTAGATGTAGATGATAGTTTCGTCTAGACTGGAAGTGGTTGGCACCCAACCTTTTCACTGGTCTTCAAATAGACGTTTACCCATAAAGCCCTTTAAGGACTCCGCATTTAAAAAGAGAAAGTCTTAACTTCTTAACTTAAGATACTTAAAATCTCCAGGAGAGTAGATACACATCCAGCCAAGTGACCCAGTTGGACAAAGTCAAAATGTAGCTTCCTCAAACACTAATCCGCCACCTTTTTAGCAGTTTGGATGGCTCATGCTGCTGGCCCCTGCTGAGACTCAGCAGAGTAGAATCTGGAACTGACTTCAATGGGGACAGTCCACAAATCCCATTTCCAAGGTCATGGCTTGGCTTGAGATGTGCTTCCGAGTTCCCTGAGAAACTCCAAGGCATGAAGCCGCTGTGACCGGATAATCTGGGCCACGTTTGGACATACAGAAATGCCTTCATAAAGTTTTTATGAGATAAACAGTCCTATTTTTATACCCACAAGCCATTATTTTCATACATGAATGTCTTCTGCTTCTAAAACACAGTGGCTGGCAACCATAAGTGGTGCAAACATTAAGGTGACGAGAGAGAAACGCTGTAATTTACTCTGTCGACATCAAAGGCAACATGCCTGGATCTTCCCAGTTTCAGACCTGAAGGGGAGTTCAAAGCATCTTGCTCTTGTTTTCTTGGCCCGAACCCATAATCGCCCACAAGCACACCGCTGAAAAAGAACGGCGAGGATAAAGCCCTGGAAACTGGGTTACTGAAGCCTCTCTCTTTACGCTGTGAAATATTCCAGCTGAAATGTTGGAATACACAATATCCTTGAAGCAGCAGAAGATGTTTTGATGAACATTTAGGTAACCAACTATCTGAAGAGACTTTGGCCACAAAAATGGCATTTCTTGATGTTGCTTAATGGAGCCTTTCAGACAGTAAATTGGTTCTGTTGAAGCAGGTCACTCACTTGTCTCAAGGTGTGGCAGTTATTCTCTCAAGGCCTTCCCTAAGTCAGATCAGACAAGACTGATGCTTCAATGCAGGTAAAAGGTGATACAAGGTTGCAACCTGGTGTAGTTGTATAGAAGTCCTGTGAAGTAAGAGAACAGTTTTGTAGAGAAAACCAGAATGTATTTTGCTTTGCATTGATTCTAGCAGTCAGTCCTCGCCTCTCTATCTCTCTATCTATCTGCAGCACAACAGGTGATTGCTTGATAAAGCGCATGCAGTCTAGACTCCTGTGGCGAGAGGCATTATGTAAGGGCGGACAGCTTCCAGAGTTTTCCCAAAAGTCAGTTGAAATACGACGAGATGTCAGAGACGGGATTCCAGACAAGCCTGAGATGTTTGTCTCCTGAGCCGAGCGTATCAAATCTCCAGACCACAGCCGGCTCCCTTCTGCAATGACCAGGCATTGTGGAGGCCAGTATGGGGGGCTGAAGACAATGACCAAACACACACTCATCACACTACTAGAATATGACACAAAGCAAAGAGCTGATCTCTTTTGGGAGGTTTAAGAAACATCCACCTCAAAATTTCAATAAATGAAGTTAGTATGTATGATATTACAGAATTATGACTCTCATTGTGACAGCATGTTGGAGTTCCACTGTTACTGTAGTTCTGATTTGTTGTTTTTGGAGACTTTCGTCCATATTCTCTTTGCTTTTGAATGCTGTTGAACTGAAAGGACTGTCACTCTTACTTTTGGAAAGCCATGATATGCAACCATGGCAACTCGGTATTCTTTTTTTATTTTTTAATTAGTACCTCAAAAAATCAATTAATACCTGGACTGCAACTCCTAATGAAAGAAGAGTTGAACGAAGGCTCTATGGATGCAAAGCAGGACCACAGAAAAAGCTAATGAGGAGGATTAGCAGAGCTTGCCAGCAACTGATAGTTATCCATGACGCAAAATGTGGAATATCGTCACTGCTGCGATTAGCATGCCATGACGGTCTTAGGCTTTAGTCAGATTTGTTGCAATGTTGATCCTCCCTGCCCACAGCATCACCATCCTCAACTCTTTGAAGATAGTTGGCTGATGAGTTACAATATTTAATATCCCTTTGGAATGAATAAAGAATTTCTGATTTAGTGCTTACAGTTAGGTCATCCTGATAAGAACCAACTGCACATCAAACCAACCAGCCTGATGGAGAATCTGAAAGGTAGTCAGCAAATGGCGAGTGAGTACAAAAGATAATGTAAGAAGAAGAAAAAATGTAAGAAGTAAATGCAAACTGGGTACCTGGGAAGCAAAGAAAATACCAGTTATTTCTTGGGCAACTGTAGATTAGTGGAAAGCTTTCATGAAAAAGCAAAATTCATTGATGTAGCTGTAATAATATCTGTCCTAAAGTATAGATACTAGCTAAAGTGAGTGTTGAATTTAATTTGCGGAGGCCTGTAGGAGTATTCAGATTACTTGTGTGTGTCGAACCATTTTTTTGTTGTTGCATGACCTGCTGTCTGACAGCGTTTGCTGCTTGGTGCTGGGGGATTGAGGATTGTATGGTGTGTCAAGATGTGCCGTGACTTTTGAAAAGCTTCAAAATGAAAAATCAATTCAGCTATGCTATTCTTGCAGTATGATTTTTCTTTTGTGGCGGTCCAAGGACCGATGATGCATGATGGCCAAGTGAGGTGAACCTCTGACTTTACCTCTGGATCCGTTCTGGTCAGGAAAAGAAAGCATCCAGCAATGACTAGGAAACGGCTAGAGTATAACTGCCAGAAAAGCAATAATTATGGTTTTATGAACATAAGCAAGAGGAAATGAGATGGTGATGCATAGATTTTAGAAAAGACTTGACATATATTTAGACATCTTCTATAAATACATTACTTTTTTTTTTTCGTTTTCCTGTGGTTTCTTTCTGACACGAGGTTCTACAGCCAGAGGACACAGTTTATTGTTGAGTGTGATAAAGTGTGAGAAACCCTCTTCCTCCCACTCACCTCCTCATACTCGGACAACTTCCTGCAGACTGATCTCAATAACTTTGCTATCTACTTATTATTCCTCTTTCTCACACAGGCATGCACCTACATTACACAGTAACTCAAGCCTCGTTATGGCTGCATTTTGTCACACTCTACGCAGGCTGAATTGAATGTTTAGCATTCACATTCAATCTTTTTTTATAATCCCATGCTCTAGGCAATGGAGGCAGAGTGAAAAATGGATTCATTTTATTTCTGTCACATCCTGGTTACCTTTCCCACTATGAAAAGCCTCCCACTCATGAGACTGCATAAAGATTCCTCTGCAGAAGATCACCACAGTAACCTAGAATTTTAAACTGGGAAGGGGAATTTTTTTTTTTTTTATGTAGCAGCTCATTGATTACTTCAATACTGACAAAATAATCAGTTCCTACAAATCTAACATTAAGCACAATTAAAGGCTTAAAGAATTAATAAAACTTCTGTTTGGAAAAAAAAATGTGCTTAAATGTTAGGCAAAAGGGATTCAGAAGCACCATTGGCTGGGTTGGCTTTGGCTATCTTGTGGCTATTTTTTTTTTTTTTTTTTTTTTGCGATCAGATGCATTTATTGCATTGCATACAGCTGCAGTTATATGTAGTTCTGGTGTTTATTTTTGAGTTATTTTATCTACAAAGTTTGGACAAAGCAAAATGCTACATCTGGTTGTGCTAAATGTAAGCTATTGTGTTAGCAAAAAGCAGAGGGATGCTGTAGTTTTTTGGTGTTAATTAAAGAATTATTATATGCAATTTTTCAGACTCTTTAATTTGCTCATAATCTGTAATGTTATGTTACTCCATGTCACATAAATTACCAGAATTTCACAGCTACTAAGAAGAACAGTGGACCCCTAGTATTCGAAGGGGTTAGGGGCCACGGCGTTCCTCAAATAGCTCTAATACTCGAAACTCTTTCTGAAATAATATATAACTGCCTATTTTAATTGTTCAAATGCCAAAAAATGCATTAATATACACAATGGAACCCATCTTGGCAGTACCACAGAAGCTAACATTTACAGTCTTCCTTATCTACGCTCGAAGGTACAGCCTATCAGCACCAAGAAAACTGAATGTTGCTTTTGGATTGGATTCTTTGTAGCCTATAGCATGTCAGGTATCAATGCACTGTAGTTATTCCAGCTTCCCCAGCTGCATTTTCTTTCAAATATTTCATATGTGCTCTACAAAAACAAAAATCCAGAAAAGGGTAATTTCAGGCCGCTGACCAGCAGCGCACAGCCACATGCAATGGAAACGTGACCCTGTATAACTTTAATGCTACATTCAGCCAGAAACAAAATTGCAATCATTCAACGATTGCTTCTCAATAAAGCTTATTGTAGGAATGATTAAAAATGTAAAAATTTTGAAACACTTTTTTTTACTGCATTGGTTTCAGCCAGAATATTTCATTGTTTAATTGCACAACATTTAGAAAATACTCTTTACAACACAGATCAAGATGACAACTATCATGGGAGCATATTGGTTCACTGTGACATCTGTACCCCGCAGAAGCAGGTCACTGCAGAATACATCCACCAAACCGAAAATGCAACCCCTCTAAAACTCAGACAAGTGCAGATAGTGCTGCCCTTCTGTCCTGAGCAGCTGGGGCCTTTCACAGATTCCCATTGGAAATGGCACCGTCGCTGCCGGCCAACAAGAAGGATCTCGTATGGACAGGCGTTGTTTGATTTATCTAAGGTTCTTCCAGCTAGAACGTTTGTTTTCGAGGTCAGACTAGAGTAGGAAAAATGGTTCTGCAGTGAAACGTTTAAACAATGGTCGGAGGTGTATTTAACTGAGGCAAAAAGGTCCCGGTATGTCTGCAAATTCCTTAGTAATTGTTCGCAGCAGACATCTGTCAAACAGAGTTTGGGTACATTTAGCAGAGGTCAGTTTGTAATGGAGTGCTTTTGGATGAAATTAAAAGAGTTGATAGATTAATGGATCAAGGAAAGTTCTAGTGAAAGGTCAGGAAGCATGTGGCGAGTAGGAAGTTATTGTGCACTAATCCTGACATGAACAATGTTGACTTTAGATCGGTGTCCATTCTAAAATCTGTTTCTTTTGGGATGATGAATAACTTTAAAAAGATTCATTAATGGTCAGGAACTGTTCAGAAAACAGCTGAAAAACAATAAAACTAGATTTTAGTCGTTTCCTATCCCGATTTTCCATAAAAGTTACATCCCTCAACTTCACTCTGTCCGTCCGTCCATAGTAGGTGCTCATAGTGTTAGCTCAAGATTTTCCTTCATTTTCAGTCGGTTCGTGCTATCTAACAAAAAAAGTTAAAATGAACTCATTTCAAATTGGGGCCTTCACATCCAGAATAAATGTACGGTGACCATGCTATAACTACTTCCTGTATAAGGTACCCACTTCTCATTTGCCAGCTTGACAAATTGAAAGCAGAACAGAAGGCGACACATCTCTCGTTTGCCTCTCTGCGGCCAATAAGAATGAATCCTGATTATTTTCTCCCCTTTCTGGGGAATGCAAGCCCCCTGAAGAATGTGGGAAGGAAATTCCATGAGGAGAAGATAACAAACAAGACCAGTGTTAGTTGTGTCTGCGGCTGCTGGGGTTCAGGGCAGCAGGTGAACTTCAGAGGGCTGATGGTTTATGCAGGACCCGCATTAGGCCCCATCCAGCAGCTCAAATAAACGCTCATTTCTACACTCCCGGTTCCAGACGTTTCTCAGTGAGATCCATTATGTCAGAATCAGTTAAAGCAATCAGTCCCTTCCGGGTGTTTTCAGCTCGTTTATGTGCATGAGGGTCCTCCACGCTGATGGTACACTCTTATTTTTCCTCAAAACGTTTTTTCTTGGGATATGTCTTTTTTCTCCAATTCTCATTTAACATTTCCATGAGAATTCCGGGGCAAATAATGCAGGAAATTGGATAAACGGCTTACCGGTGCAGCTAACCTGGTTCTAATGCGCTATTCAGGAGGGTTTTAGAAATGCCCGCTCTCACCGGGGCGCCGTCTAATATAGGATTAAAAGCAAAAGTTCACTATCTAGTTCTAACAAACATGTCTGTTTCTTTCTTTACAGTGATCAGAGCTAAGGTGGTCGGCAAGAAGCTGCTGAGAGACGGACCTTTTGGAACAATGCGCTACACCATCAAGCAGATGAAGGTGAGGATCTCAGGTTCCCTTTAGTCCTTATTGTTCGTCTTTGAAGCATGAAACTCAAGTGAAACTTCATAAGAACTACAAAGAAACGTTAACATGCCTGTGTAAACTTGACAAAACCATTAGCATTGGCTCTTTTTGGGGGGGGGTTGAGGGTGCCGAGTTACTTAAACTTTTGGTTGAATAAAATTCATCTGTTGACTGTTATGAATCCTTCAAGTTGACGTTTATCTTCATGCTCTTATTCTGAAGTGATTGACAACTGTTTACACAGAGGTTCCATTTCCTGTCATGTTGTCTCTTCCTCCCATTAACTTTATTTCAAACAAGAAACGTACAGGGTCAAAATAAAATATGGACAGTAGAGAATAAGATTTAAACATAAAAACAATACCTGAGGTCATCGTTCAACATGTGTATTACAATGTCAAAATGAAAATGACGCTCAAATGTTGAAGTTTTTCTAGATAAAATTTAAAGTCAAGTTATCAATTTCGCATTAGCTTTTGCTAAATAACATTTTGGTATATTCCCTTAGCATTACCACAGCTAATGTTTATGATTAGCACTTTAGCATTAATGTCCACTAGATACTGTTAGTGACATGCGGTAGATTTAGCAAAACTAGTACTTATAATTAGTGCTTTAAGGGTTAGCACAACTAACTTTGTTAGCAGGTCAACCACTTCTGGTTTGTGTCGGGTCTGAGCATCTACCTCAGTGAGACTCCATTCAGTTATTGGTAACATGTGACCTCAGCATAACTGAAAACGATCAGCAACAAGTTCTGTATTCCAAAGGCTTTTTTACATGTTTAAGTTTGACCCTTTTGGCAAAATGCTGAGATCAACATTCTTCTTGCCAAACTTTGTGTGACACGCTCAGCTGATCAGAGAAGTTCATAACCTCATTTTAAAGCCATAGATCAAATTAAGACCAGAAGCAAATTTCTAAATTGAGTTGTTAGAAGAGAATTCGTACATTTAAGACTCATTTTGAAAAATTGAGGTTATTACATGAATTAAACCTTCACTTTTTAAATGGCATCCGAAACACAGAACACTCTTGTGATACAAATCTGTAATTGAATCATTGCTAGTTTGAGCTAATTTGATGTTTACAGCCACATGACTAATGGTCTCTAAACTGATAACATCTGGTTTTACTGTTGCTGTTAAACTCCAGCTCTTTAATGCTGAAATTTTAATGTAGGAACCCATTTAAAAGCAATGGTGAAACTATAAAATAGGTTTAAGAAAGCTATTTCTGTGTCTCTTCAGCCCATAACTAAACTCGGACTAGAATTCTAGTCCTGAAATTCCGCCCTTCCTTTTCTCCGGATCCTTACATAACGCTCCATATTTCTGACAGATGCTTACATCGGCCCGCTGCTTTGACAGGAGCCAGGCCGGAGGATTAGTAGGCTTACGGGTATTACAGCTCAACCAAACTCCTCACACCGAGAGTAAACATTTCGTCAGAGTCACGCACCAGCATCTGTACAACAGTGGCCTTTTTGTTATGTATTACGACTGTTTGAGCTTATATAAAAAGCAAAGCATCCTCCAGATTTCCACAAATCCTATGAGACGAATCCCTTTGGCCTCCATAAAGCTCCACAGCTTCTGGCTGAGGTAATAGTTTGTTCCATTTTTCTGGGAGCGCCGCGTCTAAACAGGGATTTCCTGTTGTTCTCAGAAAAATACATTACCCCCTTAAAAAAAAAACCAAAAAAACAACAGAAGGAAGCAATTCTCTATGAAAACAGACTTTAGGCTGTGTACCTAACACAGTTGATCTTTACATTGTCTAGAAATTCACCAAAAGCCGAGCCTTCAGATTTTCATTCCCACGTGGTACTTCCTAAAAATAATCATCTGATAAAGCAGGAGTGTTTCCTTGTTGTTCATGTAGGGACTTTTGAGTGTCGCTGAGAGAACTCTAGCTCTGTTTTTCCAGTGCCTTGATTCGATCTCCCTTTTTTTCGCCAGATGTACAAAGGATTCGAGAAAGTTCAGCACGTGCAGCACATCTACACGGACGCCTCCGAGAGCTTGTGCGGCGTCAAGTTTGAGATCAACAAGTACCAGTACCTGATCACAGGTGAGCTGTTGAAGTCATACATTGAGAAAAAGAATATTGCTTGACTCCGGCTGCGTTTTCATCGACCATGTAATTGCTCAGTTTGACATATTGAAAATAAATGTGCTAAATGAAATTTTTTTTTTTCAATTAGATGTTTTGTCATTAGGATGAGGTGTATTATTTTTTTATTTATTTGTTTTTTTGGGGGGCAGAATTGAAATTGCAACGGAAAACATTGTTTTGCTTCACACGAGTTGCATAATCAGTACCCAGATGTTACCATTGGCGCAAACCATAAAGAAAATGACAAAGTAGTAGCAAGATCATGGAGCTTTATTTTTTTTAATGACTTATTGCGTAAGCAAACTTATTTTTGTATGACTGTCGTTGCATTTCTCGATTGATAGAAACACCGTAAATTGCGAAACTTTGGCACATAATTGTCATGAAAACACAGCTCATGTCTTTGAGCTTTTATTTCATAGAGTGAAAGAATAACATTTTTATTCAATTCAATAAAATAAACCCAAAGAATTTGGTTGTAATGTCAGAAAAACATGACAGAGTTCTGCACTCCGGTAGATGAGATCCATTCAGTGCGATGAGATGTAGAGAACATTCTGGTCGGCTTCGTGTTGCCAGGAAAAGCTGCTCTCCTTCCAGAGTCCAGCTACCGGCATGACGACTCTGTGGCCCCCACTCGTCCTGTCCCCCACTCGTCCTGTCCCCCAGGACTTCATTTGTCTTCTGACAAAACTTTTCCCTCTATTATTAGCAGACCCTTTGCTACCGTACAGAGGCGGATTTTTTAGTTTTTTGAGACTTCCCTTTGCGTCTCAGCAGTTTTCTCTCCCTCACAGCTTATAATTACCAGCCAGCAGGAAGCGGCTGGCATTTTCCAACACAAGCACTTTATGAGTTGCTATTTCCAACAAGGATGCTGTTTACTTTGGACCCAGAAGCACTCAACTTATATAGGTGTCAGTGAGTCCCCAACCTGTAAATACTGTAACTCCACCGCACGGCGCAAGCCAACGAGCCGTCGTTGCCAGGCAACTACAGCTATGTTTACCCAGTTCGGGCAGGGGTGACATCAGTGGATGTCTCTTCCTGTCTCTCTGCCCCTGGGGCAGCTATAATAAGTCGAGCCTATAGCCTCCGCTGGAACACAGAGGCCTGCAGGATGAGCTGTTGGAGCCGCCTTTGATCCGGCTTTAGGGGGCTCCGACTGATTAGTTTTAGGAGCGAGTTGCGCTCTCAACGCGACTCCACGGTCCGGTCCTGCAGCTTCAGAGGGCAGGCTAAACGGGACATATTTGTGACCTGTTGAAATGCCACTTAGCGACAGCACTGTGAAGGAGACAAATGGTGACAAATATTCTTGATCCTGGGGGCTCACAGCGTTCGAAGTGGTCCGCTGCTAAACATAGACGTCTGACCTCCAGATATCCCAAAATGGGGGTGTTGGTTTATTATGGGATTGTCTTTCTGTAGGTAAACGAGTCAGAATTCTGGAGAGAAATGTTGGCAGAATCCTGACTTACACTCTGGAGATTAAAAATGAGCTAAACTATGAAGCTCACTTTATGGTTAATCTTACCTAAAGTAAGTCAAGGTGCGTAACAGATATAAGTCCATTTTCAACTCATCTGCCCAATGAAGGTTATTCCAGAAGCTCTGATCTTTCTCAATGTTTTCTCTAGTAAACTTTAGGCTAGCCTTCGTGGGTTTTCTCATAGAACGTCTCATCTGAAAGTTGAATCTATGTCGTCTCTATCCAAGTGTGGAGCATATACTTTTATAGTAGCAGTAATAAGAGCCTGTTATAAGGACAGATATCTTTTGTATAGTTTATTGTTTGGGGTGCAGCGATCACCGATCCTGAAAAAACCCAACTTGCAGATTCCGATTTGGCCGATTTTCTTTGATGGTCTGAAAACTTTATAAAATGTATTGATAACGTTACTAAGTTGGCAACAGTGGGTGGTTGTTGTCATCAGAGCATGTGGAGGCTTGACTTGGTGACTGATTCTCAAAGCTTTGAGCAGATTGACCTGTCACTGATCTCCCAAAATTAAGAACATCTGGGCTGATTTATCAGTGTACCCCTTTATATTGTTTTCTAGGCGTAACAACAATTTGTATTTATTACTGAATGCCAATTGTTGAACTACATTTGAAAATATGTGCAGGTTGGTGATACATATTTACAAATCATACTTCTTCATGTAATTTGTCACCTTAAGAAGTCCATCCAGTCACAGTTATGTGGTCAAAAATGGTAAAGAAATCATAAATCATTAATTTTACTATTATCACAATAAACATTACAAAACATTGTGTCAACATTTTAAAACCTTTTTCTTGATCCCCACCTGCTGCGGTGAAATTGTAAAAATTGCAATTTTACCATCAACTGCGTCTCGATTTTCTCGAGCGTTGATAAAATCCTGCGCGGCTTAAAGGTTATAGCTCTGGAGGTACGCACCGCTCACCTCCTTGGCCCTTTGCTCCTCAGGTCGGGTGTACGACGACAAAGTTTACACAGGGCTCTGCAACTTCAACGAACGGTGGGAACGACTGTCGCTGGCGCAGAAGAAGGGCTTCAACCACCGCTACCAGCTGGGCTGCAACTGCAGGGTGAGTAAAAACCACGTAGAGCCGACGGGAACGAGACGAGCAGGCAGGAGGGAGGGCAGAAAGCCAGGCTGGAAACTCCGTTAGCCACTACTAGAGAGGAGATTTAGTGTTCATGGAGCCGCTTTCACAGTTTCCATCCATTAAATCGCCCGTTTGACCTCTGCAAGCCAAGAAATTAAGATATTTTTATGAACATTTTTACGGCCTACTTTCCACTTCCAGATTTCATGGATGTTGAGTAGTGGCAGAAATGCAGAAAAGAGCGAGTTTTACTGCAATCGCTGGGAATTAATGAACAGCCCTGGAAGCGGCTCTAGTCTTCATTCCCAGCTTCTCCTGGCTGCGGCGTGCAGCTGCTGACCCTGCCGCTGGGCGCCGTCCTGGACATCTGCTAACACACTCTGCCACTATCAGCATAAGTGGATTAGCAGAGGGAGCCTTTTGTTGACCATGCGGGTCGGGGCGTCAGCCGCCCCGTCACCCAGACCAAAGACGACAGAGAATGATAGAACATGGTTCTGTGTTAGCTCCTTTGACTTACTGCCTTCAATGAGCAGGAAATGACTCGCAGCGCTCGTTTCAGGCATTCCGATGACAGTTTAATATTGAATAACAAAAATGGGAAGTTCTCTCCCTAAAATGTGCCGATTGAATTTGCCGTTGCACTCCGAGACGAGTACAGCTCTTTGCAGCAAGCGATTCACTCTTCCTCCCACGACATCCAGCCTTTCTTCTGTTCGTCACCTCTACGAGCAGAGCGACGTGAATCCTTCCCGTCACTCACTGCCATTCATTCATCCAGGGAGCGGCTTTTTTTTTCCCCCTTTTTTTTTGTGTTAGCACCTGGTGTAATGACGCACTTTTCAAGGCAGAGTGGAGCCCGACTAAATCCTTAAACTACCCAAAAGTTGAGTGCATTAGGAAGACGCTTCATTTCACATTCCTCAGCACAAAGCATACAAGCATCAGGGTGAAACTGGCAGCTTCGCTCTCTAAACGGTTTCCTTTTACTGAACCACCTGATCACCGCAGCTGGATAGATGAGACGGGATATGTCTGTATATATTTTGCTGAATCCAATTGCTTTTAACTTCTTGCATGAAATCCAGTGGCTTTCACTCTGATGCTGTAATATATTGACAGGTTCTACAGTCTCTTCATTTTCATAGCAAATATAAATTATAAAATTTACCTGGATCCATTTTTGAAACGCCACCCCAACCCCCAAACATTCAAAGATTAAGATGATTTCAACCTCTTTAATACCAGTTAAAGTTATTACAAAGACAGAGTGATGATTAAAGGCTTTGATATGTTCAAACATGACCAACATGGATTGAACAGCACTTAAAAGATGAATTTGTATTTTATCAGGATTAAGATGTTTTAAAAATCCAACATGGATGTTCAAAGAGCTTATAAACGGCTTTAAAAACATACAATCTATTATGTATTTATATTAGATGGGCTTTTTAGTTTTAATAATTAGGCCCAATAAAGGACTTTCTCTTTTGAAAAACATGATTTATTATCTTGTCATGAACCATTGTGATTTGACTATTAACAAAGTAGTAGTAATAAAAACATATTCTGAGTAATTGTGGTATTTTGTAGAGAGTCAATATTTTTACTAAAGCATACAATATATATTTAACTTGTATGCTAATTATCTTAAATGCCAAGCAATTTTTGAATGAATTTTCTTTCAACTATTTGAGATTTATTTGAATAGGTCTTGCCAGTGTGTTTGTTTCAGGGCTCCGTATTTAGTTGTGTTTTTCTCTGTCGGTAGATTAAGCCCTGCCACTACCTGCCCTGCTTCGTGACTTCGAAGAACGAGTGCCTGTGGACGGACATGCTGTCCCATTTTGGCTACCCCGGCTACCAGTCCCGACACTACGCCTGCATCCAGCAGAAAGAAGGCTACTGCAGCTGGTACCGAGGCATGACCACCCGCGACAAAACCATCATCAACGCCACTGATCCCTGATTCCAGGCACACCCCGCCCAGAAAGCAACGCTCCCCCGCCCCGTTTCTGTCCCCCATCTCGGATTCCTCTTACTGGACTCGTGTCGGCCTTCTTTAAAAAGGCAGAAAAGAGCAGATATATTACAGTGCCTGTCTGTAGCACTTCTGATAGAAAAAAGAAAGAGAAAAAAAAAAGCGTTGTTGTAAAGGTTGCCCTTTAGACTTGTAAAGTTTTCCCACTTCAATCCGCTACCATCGTGTTTTAATCCGTGGTAGAAACGGTAGACGTTTATCAGACGTTTATACAGGAAGACCGTTGTCAACCTCAGTTGGGATCTTAAAATTGAAAAAGTGGACCGACCTTCAGCAGCTAATCTACTGATGATTTGATCAATATCAATAACAGACCATCTTCTTCAAGTAACGCACACCAAATTAAAAATTGAGATGAAATCAGTTCACAACAGTACACCTGCTTAGCAGCATTGCCAAAACACTTCTCAATTTGTGCCAATATGTGAGGTATGAAAATTATACTTTTTAGGTTCAAATTCTGAAAATGTAGTTTCAGATCAGCCATGTTCAGTTTTTACTGCAGCATCTGTCTTTAACACGGCTGTACCTCGGCCCCGTACACTTCCTCCATTGTTGTGCATAGATCATCAAACGTTAACACTGATTCAGTGCCAACAGAGGGAGGAGTTCTTTTCTTTTCTGAGTTGTGATATTTTATTTTATGCTGTATATAAAAATAAGCTGAAGAAATGCTGAAATCTCTATAATGCATTTATTTATGTTTATTGGATTACACAGTAACCCTGTTATACATGCAAGAACGGAACTAAAAAAAAGAAAAAGTACAACGCGTCAAATCAGTCAGCGTGAACGATGCGCGTCAAAAATTTAAGGTACTTTTTATTTTTCTGTTGGATCATATTTCCCTTGGCTGGTACTATTCAGCAACCCAGTGATAGTTCAGTTTAAACAGGTTTCACAGTATGAGATATTTTCTAAGTGTATATTCAATCTTTTGTATTTAACTATTTTAAATGATTATATATAAAACTATAAAAAAGAAAGTAATTTTATTGTCACTAAGATCATTCTTCTTCACCTGCTCCAGTTTGGATTTTTTTTTCTTGTTGGCTTCCTTTCAGTTCATTCCATTAGTGGATGCTGATTTGCCTCAAATGGATTAACAACCCTTAAAAAATAATAATAATAAAAAAAAAAATCAGCTAAGTTTCTATTGAAGGTCTAAGAACCGACCTTACTAAGCGACGATGCTAAACGTTAGCTTTGCTAAAATTTGCTAACAAATTTGAGCTAAAACAATTTGTTTTTCAACAGTCAGCCTTGAATTATTATTATTTTCTTAAACAATTACATTTTAATTAAGCTTTAGCTTCTTGTAAGAGCTGTTACCCAAGTTTCTTGACAATCTTAAACTAAGCTAACCAACTGCTGATTTCAACAAGCAAATAGGAGCAACTTCTTCAAGCAACACATTTCATTTTCTTATTATTTTCTTTTATGGTCCGAATTGTCTTCATTCGTGTCCATAGGGTTCCTCCTCCAGTTGTGGCATTTCTGTGTCATTATTTCTGTGGTTTCTGTTTGTGTAAATATACTGTCTGCTTAACACAGAAATGATTGGTCAAATTAAAACTAGAAAAAAAGAGAAAAACTGAAATCAAGAAAGCTGTGTACAGTCTGTGTGTAAGCACTGATTCCTGAATTGTGTGGGGTGGGTGGGGGTGTTACCATGTAAGGGTAGACAAATGTTTGACTTAATTTCTGTGTTTTATATTTTTATAATAAAGATTCAATGAAAAATGGAGCACACAAGGCTATTTGTGATCTCTTGTGCGTTTCTAGGGAATAACTTCAGGAATCACTCACCATTTGTGTGTGGTTTGGGTAGAAGGTTTGCTCATTCAGGGGGAACTTCTCCGGGCCGAGGGAGTGGTAGAGCTTAATCATTTGAGAAAACTGAAGAGAAATAAACAAGAGGACAAAAGGTGTTATGAAGGAGCTACAGTGTGTGGAAAAATCATTGAGATTTTTCTTAATTGAGCTTTCATGACCCTTAAATGCTGTTTTCCAATGAAAAAACACTTTAAAATCAGATGAAGATAACATGAATAGGTTCAAAATTAGATGATTTATTTAATAAGGCAAAAAAAAAAAGCATAACTACCCAAATCAGTTCAAAATTGCATTCAGTATTTTATTAAGGTTTTCTATCAGTTTCCTGCAGTTGGTTCCCAAAACCCAAAACAAACCCTTGTAAAACACGGGGTCAATGCCAGACCTCACACGGTCCAAATGACCCAGTCTCCCATGACCCCAGGAAGGTTAGCATGATGACGTAAGAGTGACAAAAATATGTAGAAACAGAAATTTGTAAGCAAGAAATGGCATTAAAGACATTTATGATGAGGATGTCATCTGGTTGATGGCTCGTCTTGAAGTTACCATCTGGCACTGGGATGATAAAAGCTCTGGCCTTTTTCAGAAAGTAGGACTGAAACCGTTAAGATCCACCCAGTCAGGTCTAACAGCCGTTGTTCACAGACCAAACTGTGTAAAAGTGTCAGTCCTAGTGAAACATACTTTAAACTCAAATTGTACCTGACAACACTGCATCTATGAAGTCACACACAGCTAAGCATTTACATGGTTTACATGGTTTTTGGATTTTAATTTCCTGCAAAGCTACTAATAAGTACAGTGACGAAGACCTCCTGCTCCAGGCACAGGTGTTCCAGCTCTGTGTAATGGCCCATATAAATCAGAGAGAGGCAGCTGCTGAGAGGGTAAGTCTAAGCACCCTGTGGGGGTTAAAGCAGAGCAGTGAGAGCTCTTTAAGACTGCTTACCACCCAAGGTTTGCTGCAGAAATTATATAAAGAGAAGAGGGAGTTGACACTCGGCACGCCACCAAAGTGCAGGCCGATCACAACGTTCCTGAAGTCCTCGCCGGGAATCATGCTGTAGGCGTGTTGGCGAATCAGGACGAAGTCTGGCTTAAAAGACCTGCAGACAGACAGAAAGGGAACCATGAACATGCACAGATTGCTCAAATTTAAAATGCATTAGATGAAACGCCTCAGCATCCAGGAAAAGACCATTTGGCTCAACTGATCGGATCGCGGGTTTCAAAAACAGATGCCAAAGAACTGTGGGAATTTCTTGAGGTGGGTGACAAAAAGAGCATCATGTAGGAAACTCTCTTAGGGATTGGTTTGTATTTGTCTGGAAGATATTCTGGTAGACTGGGCTCAACTGGGAACAGAAATTGCAACATTGCTTTTGATTGTGTTTACCCAGAATGCCCTGCCCTGTTGTCCGCAGCCTGCTTTTGGCGTTCACATACACATTCAAACTGCTTTCACGTCCACCCAGTTTAAGCCGGCTTTTAGTCAGACCAGAGTTTTCTGTTTTGGTCCGATTGGGCATTCACACCTCCCCAAACAAACCAGAGTTGGATTGAAGGGGACTAAACAAGGCTGATTTGAATCTTCATTGCATAGGTGGGTGAGGTTTTGCTACAGTTAGCGAAACACAAATTGACAATCTCTGCTTGTTCGTCATAGCGGCAATGTAAGACTACCAGACTCCAGAGGATAACATAAGCTGATAATATCTGTTTAAATAACAGCACTTGGTTGCACCCTAACCCTATTTTGATTTAGGTATTGATAAAACGTTGGCACAATGACTTTGGTTGAAAATCCATCAAAAGCACAAAAGGTACAGAACAATAAAGAGACACCAGGACTCCCAGGTCTCATTTGTCCGACTAACGTTCAAAAACAGATTTAAAAAATGCAACAAATTACATCAGTACAACTACTGTGTTCATTCACTAAGTTAAGAATGTCATGATTTATTGAGACCTAGACTGAAGTTGTCAAAAGTCAACTTGATCTCATAGCAACCTGCCCTGTTGACTGGCTGATCACCAAAGACAACATGAAGCAACATTGCCAGAAACACAGAAGCTGCTCAACGCGTCTGCATTGATCTGACCCGTGTTCACACCGTCACCAAACCAAAACTACTTTGATGCAACTCAGTTTACCGGTTCAAACTTCTTTCTAACAGTGGTTCTGTCATTCAACATTCAACACGCTCGCTGACAAACAAGATGTAGCTTTTGTTTTCATTTGCAATTTCTCAGACATTTTCAACAATCTGACTTTTGACTGAATTTTTCACCAGTCTGGACCGGAGATTCTCGGGAAGTGACCTTACAACCCTTCCCAGGTTGTTTGGCAGCAGCGAGACCGTTGCTGATACTGTTCATCTTTGGCATTGTGCAGATCATGTTCCTACAAAGTCCTAAGACATCAGGAAGAATCCACTCAACTGACCTTGAAGTCCTCAACTGTTTCACGTTATCAGAACAAAATTAGACTCATACTTTTTTTTCTTTTCCTTCAACAACTTGTTTTCTGTTCTGCTTTCCTTAGACTCTCCTGAGTTTCCTGCTCAACTCAGGAGATGAGCAGGCAGGTTATGTCATCTCTCTTTGGGGATTAATTGACTGGCTGGGCAAAGGTGATGCCGGCTCTGCTTGTCATGTCATCAAACTGAAAGGCTGAGTCAGGGAAGTCAGAGAGGCCCAGGCCCAGGAGAGCTCTGGAGAAGCTGTAGAGATTCGAAGCTCAGGTGGGAGAATCTGTTGACAGGAAAACACTCCAGAAGTTTGGCTTCATGGAAGAAAAAAACGCTGTTCTACTCCTAACTGCACTGATTGAACAAATTGAAGCTGTGCTGATTTTATATGTTGGACCAAAGTTGTGAAGCCGTTGTTGCATTTAAGTGTGCTGTACTGTTGCACAGTTTTCAAGTTACTTTGCAATTTCGCACATTTACGTAAAAGAAGAAAAAGAAGAAATGTTTCAAGTCAGTTCAAAGGTTTTTCTGTACTGGATCGGAATCAGCCGATACTAAATCTCAGATATCGGTATCAGAAGTGAAAAATGTGAAAGGAGGAGGAGGAACAACTATGAACATACCCCAGGACTGACAAGTCTATGACTTTTCTACAGTACACTGTACAATCAGTGAAAAAATATGTTTTCTTGTTTTTTTTTAAACTCAGCATTCCTTCGCCTGGAAGCTATTCATACTTGGGACAATACGCTGCCATTTGGTCTCCAGGTCCCATTATCATGAAGAATCTCTGACCTTCTAATAAGCTCTGCAGGAATATGTGTGCTCCAGAGAGCATTTTTCTCCATAAAGACCCTGCGCTTGTCTCAAAAGCTGATGAAGGCCTTATCTTCCTCCATCAGCCTGTCTCACGTTGATAAGACTAATCGCGGTAAAACTCAGCGGGAATGCCACAAATGTCAAACAGAACATACCGAGCCTCAGTGCAGGGTGGATACATAATGCTGCATTGTGCTGTGGGGGCTCTGTGCCGTCACTGGGAAATGCACCTTACAGAGAAAACTTTCTGCTCTCCTGTTAACGAGGACAGATACAGCAAAATAACCGCGAGGTCTGCTTTGAGACTTAAAAGGTCAAAAGAAAATATTTACACCATTTATGTCTACGTGTCACACAAGACAACAAAGACTGACACCTAATTTCGTTTCAGTCTGATCATTCCCCTTTCAAGAGGACATGTCCTCAAATGAGACGACTTTTTGAAATAACTTATCTTTCTATGGAGTTGTGATGTTGCCGGTTGATTTCTTCAGACTACGCGGAAAAATAAACGATTGTTTGAAAGCGGAGGAATTCCAAATGATTCGGCCAAATGAAGGCTTCGCATTTCCTGAGCATCTCCAGCAGCTCTTACGAAACAACGTTATATTGACAAGAACGCTGGAAAAACTGGAGTCCTTTCAGCTTTCGGAAAGTTTCCCTGGAATGAATCATACGCCAACTACCGCAAAGACTCACCCAACTATGAGAATCTCTGCTAAAAATCTCTCCATGACTGTTGCCCAGTGAAGGGGAGTTGCTCACCAAAACCAACATGGTTCCTGATGATTTATTGGTCTCCCAGGTGATTCTGCTGGACAACCCATGTTTACCCCTCTGAGGGGAACCTGTTGATACATTTGTCCCTCCAACAACCTGAGGAGAAATCTGTGCAAAAGTTCCAACTTCAAGCCACAACTCAGACTGTAAGCTTCCAAATTCATTTCCCATATCTTCTCATGACCTTTGGTGAGGTTGCCTGGGTGAGTCAGGACCTCAGATTAGTTCATATGAGTTTCTCCTTCCATCCTGTGCTTTTGACTTTGGACTATACCCCGATGCCCTGACGCCAAAAACAATTGGACGTTTCTACATTAAGATGATCACAATTACCGGTTTGGCAGTCGAGAGACATATGTAATGCAAACATGTAATAAAAACCAGCGCACCACCAGTGTGGGCTGAACGGGTTAACGATGTTCATAAAGGTCATTTCAATAATCATCTGTTGGATCAATCATCAGACCCTCACATAAAAACCCAGCTGAACCTACTAAAAGGAAGTTGGAGTTTTTGACTTTCGGTATTATTGCGGGAGTTAGGGTCCTCGCGGGCGCCGTAATGTGTGCTGCAGCAGCATTAATTAAGCCCTCTAAGAGCAGTAAAGAGAACGTTCCTGACAGTTTTACAACTCTCGCCTCACATTTCATCCCTCCTGCCTCCCATTTTGAGTTTGGGGATCTGACGACAGCCCAACACACTCGCAGGTCAATTATGTTAGCAAACCACTTCCTCGCCGACAGTTTACCAATCAAGTGAGAGATGCCGATCGGCGCTGGCTAATCGTTAGTTGTGCGTTCTTTTTTTCAGTACAGCTGAATCTGTGGTTAAGGCAGGAAGGAGGACAGGCTGCTCTGAGGCTCCTCATACTTTGGCTGCTGTCATCTGCTGTTCGGCCAGATCAGCATTCCCACTCTGAGCCGAGAAGCTTGATGGAGGTTTTGGCAGCAAGAGCCCAAGGAAGCCAAAGGGCTGACTGCAGAATTTCATCTGGAAACAACATGCCACAGCTACTGTACTTTGTGGCATACCGTTCTGCTGCGCTCTACATGCCACGTTGCACATTCAGCAAATTGTTGCAGACGGTTTTGACAACAGGTATTTGCTGGTTTTCATATTCCACAGGTAGCACTGAGCCTGTCGGTCACACTCTGCCTTAGAAAAGCCTGATCTCGTCCAGAGCTGCTGATGCTGGAGTGATCAAATGAAAACTGAGAAGTAAAGCTGAAAAGTCATTGAGTAAATCTGAAGGGACATTCGCATTGAAGGATATCTTTCCTTCCTACAGTGATGTTTGACATGTATTATGGTAAATGTGGGTCTCAAAGCTTCTCTAGTCTGTCATTATGTTCACATGCGTCTTGAGGAAAGCACATTCACACACCCTAAATAATCATCAGACCCTCACATAAAAACCCAGATGAACCTAAAAGAAATGTCACATTTTTTGATTTTCGGTTTAAAAAAAAAAATGGTAGAGGGATTTATTTTTGCACAATAACTAGAGGAGATGATCTGGCTTTAGGGTTGGTGCACTTTCAAATTTGAGAAAAGAGGGGTAAGATACGAGCTCCCCACACTGTCCAGGTGAGTATTTACCACAGAGTTGGCTTATGTTGGAAACTGTCACCCGATGGGTCAGTATGATGTAAAGTAGATTTTTTTTTAGCTTTGACGTTATTCCCTCATCAAAAACATACCTGGCGTGTCGCTTCATGTGTTTCATGCATATTTAAGCTGCTGTTTACAAGCTTCTAAACAGCAGCTTCTAATCATCAACTTTATCTCCTTCAGACTAGCCAGCAACAATTAGCAAACATCTGGAGGAACCAAAAGTGCAATTTCATAAAATATCAACAGTAAATAATATTTTCACTTAAGGCTGTTTTTTTTTTTGATAATTTTTAATCATTCCTAACAGAACGAGGGCTTACTTTCCACCCTAATGTATTCTGACTCTACATTCACATTTTGTATTTTTTTTTTTTTTACAATGCATAGCACATGGACAAGTGTGGGAGCAGTGAAACCACAGAACTGTGAGAACGCAAGCTGCTTGGTGGAGCCAGCGCAGGCCAGCATGTCTGCACAGAGGGGTCAAGGGTCACATCAGCCAGGAGACACGCGGAAAAGCAGGAGCCTGCTTTAAATATGCCTTAAAAAATAATCCCAGCATGTGTGAGCGTGTATGTGTGTGCGTGCGTGTGTGCGTGTGTGTGTGTGTGCGTGCGTGCATGCCTGTGTGCGTGTGTGCGTGTGTGTGGGTGTGTGTGGGTGTGTGTGTGTGTGTGTGAGTGAATGCCATCCTAGAATGATCACATGCACTCAAGGAAAACTCAATCACATGGCGTGTGTTTAATTTGTGCTTGGGAAGCTGGTGTTTATGCATTCCTCTGGCGCAGAATGAAACGCGCTGCTGTCGCAGACGTAATTAGGACATAATCTATGAAATGGGAAGGATCTGAAGGGTCTGCAGAGTTTTCAGCCAATTCTTTCATCCAAGCTGTTCCCCTGCGGCCCTTTCTGGGAGGAAGCGGAAACAAAAGCAACTTCTAGAAGTTGAACTTCTGACTTTATAGCTGTGGGAGCACTACGCGTTATTAGTCATGTCCCGGTGGGACCGGCTGCTTGAATTGACCATTATTCTATTTGCAGACGAGTCCAGAGCCATAAGTGATAAGCAAACCAATGTGGCAGTGAACGTCAGTGTTTGTGAGCGAGGCAGAGGTCACACCATCTGAATACAATTTGGCCGTTCCATCGTTACAGAGATTTCACCCAAAAAAAATATTCCAAACTCCCACAAGAACCTCAGTGTCAGGGCTGGAAACAGGTTGCATAGTTAAATCGGCCCCCGGCTGATGACCGTCCTCAGGACACGGTCAGGCCTCTTCCTGTCACTGGGTGGTTCTGAGGCTGAGATCCGATGCTTAGGCAACATTTCTACAGGCGAAAATGGTTCCACTGAGACAATCTCCTAAAAATCAGCAGGAGAAGCATTGCTTCAGTTTCATTGACTGTTGTGGAGATATAAACATATTTGAGAGGGATGCTCTCCTTTCACATCCCTCTGATGGGGCAGTATTATGTCAAATAGATTTTTTTGACATTATGTTATAATGTTATTGAGCAAATTGAGGAAAATGTGGTTCTAAAAACAGTCAACAGTTCAGGAATCTGTTCACCTCAAAGAACTGTTCGACTTCAGTCAAACCGAAATCGAACGTCGACTATCAAATATCCTGAATGATTTCAGGATATTTGTTTTCACACACACCTTTTAGCGTCAAAACAAACCAAGCCGAGCTCCTGTGAAGCCCCTCCCATTACAGTTTACATCATGCAGTTTGGTGATGACGGTGGTTTTCACCACTAAACACCCTTCACATTTCAGCCAATATCGCTTCACCTTTATGTTTTAGACAGAAGAGCTAAATCACCTACAACTAAGTGCAAAGACAGCAACTCGTCCACCTGCTTTAAAGTTATGATGCACAAACCAATCAACCCAAAGACTAAAAATACACATCTAGTTTGGACCTGGAAGGCACTAAAAGCTTACCCTGCATGGTTCTTCAAGCGGGCCACTTGCAACTGCGTCGTGGCACAGCCCCGGTGTTGCCATGACGACTGCAGGTTGCCATATTGTGCTGCAGCCGTTTAGATAAATCTGGACCATGAGGTCAACTTTCCAACTAGAATCTGTTGTTTATCTGTGATTCTCTCAGTAATTACCTCACCAAACAGAGCTGTTCCTCTCAGGCCTGGTCGGGTTTTCGTTCCATTACTGTTCAGTGATTGGCTGGGTTGAGAGTCACCTGGTGACATCATAATGTAGAGCTGTGTATCATCTGTGTAGCTATGGTAACTACTCTTATTGTTTATTATAACCTGAGTCAGTGGGAGCGTGTGGATGTTCACTGACAGATGTCCCAGAATTGAACCGTGAGGTGACTTCTGTCTCCAATGAGAACCGACACAAACAAGTCCCTGTTCTTTATGCCAGACCTGACCTAGTCAAATCCTGGACCAGAGGGTCTGACTTGTCACTTTGCTAATATTAAAATGACTGGACACAGTGAAACATAATTTGTGCTATCAGAAACTCAACAAGGTTTATTCTCCAACTGTGATTTTTCTGGGATTTTTAAAATTTTTATTTTTTTTTCCTTGACAAAACTGCATCATCTCTCCTGAGCGTAACCGCTAATAACTCACCTGACAACTTTGGAGCCGCCTTTGTTGACCTGCATGTCCACCATGCATCCTGAGTTGACGTAAGAGGCCAGGTTGATCTCTGAGAACTCCGCCTGGGAAACCGAAAAGCAAAACCCAAGTTTAGATTTTGACAGCGACATGAAGTATGAGGTCGCGTGTTCGTGCCGCGGATGAACCCCTTGACTCGACGCCGTTTCTTTTGGCCTGTTGACAGCGATACGTCTGCATAAAATTGAAGTAGATTGCTTCCTTACGTCACCGTGCCTTTCTGCGTTTGCACAGAGCAGAGCAGAAGACAAGACTGGGAGAGACAGAGCGAGCTGGTCGGAGAAGGCAAATTGAGTTATCCCCAGTCTCTGGCCTCCAGGACAGTGAGGGCCTTGTGAAAGGCCGTTGCTTGGCTTCTTAATGACTCAGTCAGACTCCCAGAGATTCTCAAAAGGAAGGGACAACAACTCCACTTCTGGGAAAGGAATCTTAGGATGTGTGGGACCAACGAGCAAAAAAATTTTTTTTTTACAATTCCAGAAATGTGTGGCTGGTATGAACCAAAGTGGAGACTAAAATAAATAGTAAGACACATTAAGGTTTGTACAATCTGTTTTATCAGCTTTAGTCTAAAGTCAAAAGCTCACTGTATGTGGAACTCAGTTTCCAAAAGTCATTCACATCTTCAGCACACATTGGACATGTCCTGCTATTCCATTCAGATCCAATAAGTATCAAGAAACCCATCAAGAAACTTTGCAAACAAAAAAAGTGTCCCAATTTCCCCCTACTGACAATCAAACAGGCCTGTGATTTTTCAACAGTCTCTGACAGCCACTCTGTTGTCTTTAGGACTCGGTGGACTCTGACACATGCTGGACATTCTCTTCCTGTTTGAAGGTTCAACGACGCCCACAAGACAGAGGCTGCAGCTTCCGTCCTCACAGACGACCTGGATTTCCTGATACTAGATTGACCCCGTCTTGAGTTCGGCTCCACTTTCATTTCATTGTTCCACTGAGCAAAATCCTCAAACCCTTTTTTGGCTTCTACATGTGCAATTGGGAGCAATCTGGATCCGCCTTCTCGTCCGTTTTTGGTGTCAGTAGTGGTCAGGCTGGAGTGTTCAGTATCTAACTGTGAAAGCTGAAACTTCAGGGCCTTTGCTTTCTTTTTCTATCCTTTCACCTCTGCATGCAAAGCACTCATCTGCTGTTGTTTCTAAACTCTTCAGGTGGTTTTCTTGATTTCGCTGTGTATGTCACACAGAATGGACTGAATCATTTTTGAAGCGAGACTCCACCACTCGCTTTAAAATTGAATTAGAAAGTCGTTTAACGGTTTAAACTATTCTTGGGTGGTTTGTGGGAGTTGAAGAAATGTAGCGATGAGTGGAAATGTGAATGTTCTCCTTCTGGCAAACAGATGCATGAGTGTTTGTGTATCACCCGGCCTGACGCTCCATGTCACTCCCAAAGGCCTATTGATCAGATAATTCTGATTCCCATTTCTAAACCACTTTAAACTCCCTTTTTTTCTGACTTGCCACATAATGCAGGTTTTCTGAGTGCAGTTGGACGGCATTTCTTCCATCACTCCTCTGCACCAGGTGGCATTTTCCCTGGAGGTATGCTGGACGGCAGCAGGTTGACCTCAGGCAGGAATAGCCAGTGTTTGTTGGTCTTTACATTCCTTCTAAGCACAAGACATGACACAAATGGCGCAATAAATGGGCCCTGCACAAGCAGCCTGCTGACCATGTGTGGAAAAACAAAAAAAACTCAGATGGGCAGGTCCCGGTCAACGCTCCAGCAGAACGCCGTGCAGAAAGCACAGCTGCATTTCATTTAAGAGCGAGCGCGAGCAGCCTGAGTAAGCATCGGACTGAGAGTCACCGACTCTAAATACTGCCGGGTGCAGCCGTAAAATATCCAAATATCTGAACAGATAAATAATCAAGTGAGATTCTAATCCATAGAAGTGTCAAAAACTGGAGCGTTGAGAGTTATCTGCTTTGCTGTTCATGTCAAACAGCAGCGCTCTGCCAATAAACATGAATCTTTTTTTTTTTTTTTAAAGAAATCACTCAAATTATGCAACGTTTTACAAACCCAATTTTTCTCCTCTCTATTGAAACTTTTCCCGCCGAGTCTCTGGAGAAGTCTCGAAAGTAAATTTTGCGCAGTGGAGTCAGCCTCTGCACACATGCGCCGCACATGGCTAACGGTATTTGGCCCTCCACTAATCAAAGAAATAGGTTTATGATTTAAGGCTTGATGGATTAAGCTCTGGACTGCCTCGCTAAATAAATAGCTAAATGCGTGAGGGAGAAACGTTCTGCGGCTGAGTTGTATTGGAAACATTTGCATGAAGCATAGGGAAGAACTTCAGACTGTTACTTTTCTTTGATGGGAAAATCACTGGGTCGACATAAAACATAAAAGCTGCTCTCGTCAATTTGTTTTCTGTCATTTCCTTTTGATCCACATGCAGGGTCGCAAAAGTGCGTTGAGGTTATGTAACGGCAGATTAATCAGTTTCTGTTTTCATTAAGCTGCTCAGACTCTGTTCTCAACCTGTCCCAGTATCAGAACGCAGCGACGGATAATATCACACTACACCTGCAGTACCTCTGCCTATTGGTTGGTCCTAGATTGATTCTTTCAGCTTGTTGTGATCCAAAAGGTTTCTTGGCCTTTCACGACTGGCTTTGCAGTGCCAACAAACTCATCATGCATATTATGAAGCAATCCAGTTTAACAGCATGGAATTAAAGTGAAATACTGGCGACAAGAACTTAGCTTATGTCCAAAGTGTGGACAGACAAAACTCCAGCAAGTGCTTTCAGCTTTGTGTCCTTAAGGCCCAGAGCCATGACACCAACAAGTTCTCCCTGATTTTTGTCTGTGAGACTCATGGTCATGATGTGAACGACGCCTTTAAGGCTAATAGCCATATTATCAATCTTGCTCTGTGTCCCTAAGGCTCGTAGTCATGATGTCGACAAACAGATTGAAAGTGTGCCATCCCAAACATGCGACAGACCTAAGACCTCGCCTGATACCGAGTGACTCATCTTTTACTTTAGGAGGTTGCCAGTTCAGATCTTGGCCGGCGTGTTTCTGTGGGGAGTTTTCAGATTTTCTCCAGATTTGTGGTTTTGTTTTCGTCTGGGTTTTTTTCGGACTGTTCCTCATAATTCTAAAACGTTCATTTGAAATAAACTTGAGTCGTTTCAATAAATGAAACGAGAGCCTTGATTGCCTTGTAGTGCATCTCTGTTTTCATCCATGTGATCAACCAACACGTGGTAGATCCAAAATCCCTTGACATGACTTTGACTTGCATATAAAAACGGTACATGAACAAGACAAAACCATATGTGGGGCTGGGAGCTGAATCATATGTGCAAATGTTAATTGTTTTTCTACTGGAAAATATTTCTAAAAAGATAAACTCCCACTTCTATCTAGCAAATGTATGAATATACTCAGACACTCCCAAGCAAATTTGCAGACCCAATCAATGAATTCCTTCTCAGCTAATCCCATCCCAAACATGGAGACCTACGCTGACTTTGGCTGTTGCAAAAGAAAACAAGAGAGCGGGCAACTTCATGGCTTCTCTGATTGGCTGGTTAAGGATGAGAGGAGTCTTAACAGCCTTTGTCATTGGGCAGTAACAGATGAAGTGGTTGGTGCCCAGAAGGCCCAGAAGCCAGGACGAGAGGTTTTCCTCTGCACCATGGAGACCATCATGGTTACTCATTCAGACTCTAGTCCTGGAGCAGCTCTCGCCCTGGGAAAGGAAAACAGGAAGTGATACATCGAAGAACTGCTTTCAGACCCGACTGTTATGTGCTGAGCTCCGACCTCGGCCGATTCAGAACGGCTCTTGGATCCGCCGCTAGTAAGAGCCAAGCTTTGGCCACGGAGTTATCAACTGGATTTGAACTCAACAGAAGCAGATGCAGCAGTGGACATATTGTTTTAACACCAATTAGAGAAATAAAAGAGAAATTTACAAGCAATTTTATTTTATTCCTGAACAACTGATAAGACACTGATGTTGGATTACGATGCTTTGCACGAAGTTTAAACTTTAATCCATCCCTAAGGCGTTCCATTGAGTTGAGGTCAGGACTCTAAACGCTGGTCAAATTATTCCACAAACACTTGTTCATATCCTTATGGATGGTGTTTTGTGCAGTGGTGTGACATCAGAGTCCAACAGCAAGAGGCTTTCCCTAAACTCTTCGGTTTCTAACAGTTCAGGGAAATTTGACGTTCAGCTTATTAAGATTTTTTAAGACAAGTTATGATTTATGTTTTACAATTGATTGTCTTTTTTTTTCTTTAAATTTGTACTAAAATAGATACTATTTTTAGAAACTGAATTTTGAAACTACATTATGCTAAATTAATTGATGATCAAACGGCTCAATGCACAAAAATAAATTGTGAAACTTCTAACTGCGTTACTTAAATCTGAAACTAAATTATCATTGTAAAATAAAAATAAAAAACACACAATATGATTATGAATGTTAATAAATTCCAAAATGTTTTTGTATTTCTAATGGTTAAGTAAACAAAACAAAAAAAGACAGGATGAAATAAAAGGAGTTTTCTGCAGCACTGATTACATCACAGTGATTTAACACATGGGGCCACAGAATCTGTCACTAAATCTGTAACTTTTATCATTTCTGGATTAAATCACTGACCACTTCAACTGGTAAGTCAAGATTACAGTAAGTTGCTCACATGGTCCAATTTATTATTGGCTAATCTTTGCCAAGTGCTGTGAATATTACGTTTTCCAAAGGCCTAAATGATAGAATTTCACTGTAGTGCGATCAGTAACAAATCATCTGTCAGGAGTTTGCTCTGCACAGATTCCTTTTATCAGAGGTGAAAACCAACTGGCGTAAAAGGGGCTACTGATAACACACTGCCTGGGAGCTGGCATGGCTGCAACCACAACAAGCATCAATAACCGTGAGGTCACACAGCTGCTGAGCAGATGTGGATCCTCAACAACAGAGGTGCCCCTTGTTCCAGCTGGGATGCTGGTACGAAACCCAAACAGGCAACGGTAGACATGATGAGGAACGACACAAAATATGGTCTGGATACAACAAACTAATGAGGTTTTGCAGCGATGATGATACAAGTGAAGAATGAGATGAGACTTTTTGTTTTCACTGGTACAGAGACGGGTCCAGTATTTAGTTTCTAATTAGTGTGGAATATCTCAGTTGAATTTTGATATACTGCAGTGTTTCTGCTGTCCAAACGCAAGAAAAAACATTTCATCTCTTCATCTGATTTCTGTCCAGCTCTTGTAGTTTCTCCGTGCATGTGGGCGACGGAGGACTTCCAGACAAAGGAGTTTTACTTCAAATGAGCAAATGAAGCGTAACTATGGAGACAAGTGCGCCCGGTTTGGGGACCTCATGTGGTCCTGTTGTTGCTCCCTGCTGAGCGTTGAGCCGCTGGGATGAGAGTCGGCTCCTCCGAAGGAGCTCCGCTTGACCCAAAGTGATGAAACTGGTTCTCACAGACGCGTGACAAAAACTGCGTGACAAAAACTTCATGACTTTGTTTGTGGGGAAGCGTCCACGTCCCCTTCATGGCACAAGGCCTGAGTCGAACAATTTGTGCATTGTGTGATTGCAACGATATTTTTGCATCAACCAAACCGCTCCTACTATCCTGTTTTTTGTATATCACTGAGCCATTGATTACTTTTGAGAATTTCTTCCTGTCAAATGGCTAAAATCGGGTCAACTCAACGTGAAGCCACTGGTTCTCTGTGTCAAAAGGAGTCAGATGATGCGGATCAAGAGGGCCCCTGGGAGCCTCCCTATGGAGGCTTTCTGGGCACGTCCCACTGGGACAAACCCCCCCGGAAAGACCCAGAACTCATAAGAGGGAACAATTATCTGATCTGACGGAGAATGAGCTGGAGGATGTTGCTGGGGAAACGGATGTCTGGTTCTCCCTCCTAAACCTTTAAGACCATGGGTACGAAGACAGATGGAAACATGGTGGCCGCAGCATTGTGATCTGGGCTTCCCTTTCAATATGATGGAACTAGGGGTTTTATGAATAAAAATATGATCACCAGTATGATCAGTTTTAGAGCCAAAGACTAGAGAAAGAGAGCAAGCACACATCCAAACCAGCAAAACCAACCACTTCATGAAGGTAAAATGAATGTTTTGAATGATCCAGAACCAAATCAGACAGAAAATCTATGAGGTGTCAGGAAGCTGTGGATGCGAGATGTCCTCACAATATGATATATATTTATCAGAGACATTGCTTTGTTTGTGGGGCCAAAACAAGATCCCAGAACTAAAACTTCAACATAGGTTGTGCAAAATCTGCAGCATCCCTTTCTGTGGTAGCTCTGTGTTTAAGCATGGAGATCATACCTTATAAGGAGGCGAGCTCACTGGAGAAGAGGTTTGATAATGATGTGGGGCTGCTTCAGGGAGCTTACCACACATTATTAACATGACAGATGGGAGATAGCATATGATTTCAGAGTCAAATGTCAATCCAAGCGAGACATATATGGGATAATCACAAGGTGTAAAGACGTGATGAGAAAAACAGCTTTCGGGGTCGACTCGAACGGCTTCAAGCTACAGCCTGGCTGTGGACGGCTGCTGACGGAGGAGAAAAGAGACGGGCTGCGGACTTACTGGAACGGCTTTGGTTGTCATGTTGCATGTGGCTTGCTTTTCACACAGTCTTCCTAAGGCTCAGCGAAAGCCACAAACAGTCAATGAAGGTTCTGGCTAAGGATTAGCAATTAGCAAACTGACCTTTCCACCAAAGTACAGAGGGCTTTAAGGAAAGGGCGCCGGGTCCAACGAGATCTAAGTAGGTCAGTCTCCGCCGGGTACCAGAGTGTTTGTTTGGTCCCCAAATTATCGACTTAACAGGCCCAAATAAATCTGTCAAGTCTTCACTCAGCTTCATAACCACAGCTCTATGGATATCCAAAGTAAAACGACTCTGATTTCACAGAGAAGTCTCTCAAGTCGTCCTTGTCTAAAGATGTGACCACAACAGTGGCGAGCTGAGCAAATGGCCAATAAAAAATAAAATAAATCACCCGTCCAGCTGTTTGCGGTTCTTTTCTTCTTCCCCCGTAAACAATCCACCAGCGTGTTCCAAAGACAGCCTCAGTCGCAACAATGGGTGGCCCAACACTTCTCTGGTGCAGAACTGCTGCTGTTCACGCTCTCCATGCTGCAAGTCTGGACATACAAACATGTTCCTGTGGATTCAGCTTCAAATACAGTTTCTTTAGGTGGAATTTTTTTATCACAGCGTGCAGATCAACATCTGAGGAAGCGTCACTTTGACGTGAAAACCTGGGAGGGAGGTGAAGTTGGTGGAGTGCAGTGGAGGTGATTTCAGTTCTGAGAATCGGGGAGAAATTCTCATTTGGGAGTCGAGCCAGCAGGAAAAGCTGCAGAAGATCTGAGGATGAAGTGAAGGTTCGCCTTCCAGCAGGTCAGTGCTGCTATTAGAGGCTCAACACACAGGAAGCAGCGTCTCTAATGCTAATTAAGAGAAATCGAAAGAGTTCAAACGAAATGTACTCTACCTGCTCGACTCGAATCTCATATTCTCCATTCAGCTTCTTCCCCCGAAAATACTTGGCCCTGCATGGAAGAACAACAGAAAAGAGTTTGATTAAACATGGAAGAGCAGGACGCCCAACACACGAACCAACACATCGTTACCAAACACTGCACAAAAAAAAGCTCCATTTCTTCTCTCAGTGTTTGACATTAGCAGCCTCTGCCTGCTCAGTACTACAGAGTTTCACTACAGAGTTTCTAAAACTTAAAAGCCAAACATTCACGTTCATTTTCTTCGACCTTGGTGGAATTGCAGTTTAAATCCAACAATTTTCAGGCCTTCAGTTTTCCTTTCACAAGTTTCTCAACAGTTTGCTGGAATTTTGCCAAGTTGGGCTCAAAACAGGAAGTCAGAAGACCGCCGATCACTGATTGGTTAGTCTGGTTGGTCGGCCAATACACTAAATACAGGGATTTAGTGTGTTTGGAGCTTAAAGGAAAGTAACACTAAAACTGACACCGTAGTGTAACAACGAGGTGCAGACAACACTCTGCCATGATGGAAAACAACTAGAACCTTTGACAGGTTTCTGTCCAATCGGGCCGTAACTGAGTCAGATTTGAAGGGCCGGGGTCTTTTGCCCTCACACAACTCTGCTTGTAATTTTTTCTGAGATCTGACACTTCTGACTTTGTTTCTCTTAAGCCACTTCGACATTAAATCAGACTAAAGGCAGCGAGTTTCTATCTGGTCCCAACCGCAGACTTGCCCTCCCGCACTGCAAAGTACATACGGCACAAAACAAACTTTAAACATCCGTGTTTGTTTTGTCGACGTCGAGCTCAAATTTCACAAGATCGTCCAAAATACCTGGCAAGTAGGAAGAGAAATGACTCACTTCTTCCATGGTTTTAGGATCTTTTAGACCTTTAGGGGATTTCAAGCAACTGGTTGAGAACGCCCAGGTTTTTTGTTTTGCCTTCTCGAATAATTGTGAAATCCAAAAACACAGGTCACTCACACAAGTCAAGAGCATGAAATCAAAGACAGTGAAAAGTCTACAGTCTGTGATGCACCTGCTTGCTTGAAGGCTGTTCCAGTAACAGAGTTATCTGCCTCGCCATCAGACACGGAGGATTCAGACTGAGCAGGAAGAAGAAAAGGATTCTTTGTGCTATTTTAGAAGAAAATTGACCAACATTTTTCTACATGCTTAATTGATGCAAAAACGACGCCATCGAATCTGTTTCCAGCTACTCTAATCTTGCTAGCATGCTAACAGCAAGGCTTTGTCAATATCCCTATGAAGCAGAATTTCAGGGTTATACTTGTGATTTTTTTGTTGTTGTTTGTTTTGGTACTGATAGTCAAATTCACGTCTGATCATATATTGTCTCATTTGTTTTAAGTCCAACTATTCCATGTGGCTTGGATGTGAACTCTGACCTTCGGCATGCACAGGGCAGTTGACAATCTGTCTTGGCCTTCAGGCTGAAGAGTTGAGGAGCTGATTATCTAGGTTGCATGCTAGAGGCCTTTTGGTTCTCTGACAGGCTAGTTGTTTTTTTATCTTTGTAATCTTTGTGCTCTGCAGCACATCTCCCCGTTGAATGACATTTTTCCCCAGAGCCTCAACCCGAAAACGTCTTTTTTTGTCCGTTCTCCTGATGTCCACCGTCATGCATCTGTCCCTTTAGCTCCGATCTTTCGTGTTCATCACTTGCACCAAGGAGCTTCTTGTCCCTAAACTCTCCCAGCTGCTGTGCTGGTAGATCCTGAAGCGCATCATTTTCCACGATTCAAGAAGCCATGAATTCTTAGAGGTTGAAGTTTCCTGTCACTGAGGACGACTTCTGTTGTCAAACATGTGAGTCAAGACCATTAAGCTCACTCACAAATAACGGCTGGTATGCAGCTCCAGGTATTGCGAAACACGTCGTCACTCTGATTGATCAATGGGCGAAGGCTTCTCATCGGATCCGATCCGCACGTCTAGCCCATGTCCAGATCTCAATCCGACCCACACCCTCGACATAAAGACCATGAGGCTGAATTCTTTCCATTTTAAACATGAGAATATGTTGGCTCTTTAATGAGAAGTGCATGATTCATACTTTTGGAAAAAGTCAGTTTCCCTTTGGGGGTTTTCTTTCTCTCATCATCACACATCCCCTTTGGATCCAAGCAAACATCGCTCAGTGCTTCAGAGTTAGAAAACAACTTCTGTTTTTTTGAGCTAGCTTTAGTGTTCCCCTGGAAAAAAAGCAGTAACTCTTGCCTTCTACAGTTCCAGTACCTTCGCATCTGTAGTCGTATTTTCAGGCATTGCAGAGTGAAACTACAATTCCTGAGACAACCCTCCACGTCTAACCTTTAATTAGCTTGGATATCTGATCAGGGTTTCTCTGCTTCTTTGAGGTTTCCGGGTATTGGAGCAGAACCGGAACAGATCCAGAGTTTAATGCATTCATATTGGCCAGGGAACCTCTGGATCCTCAAGAAGAAACACAGGAATGGCACTGAGGTGAGGGTTTCAGGAGACTGACCTCCCTTATGGCAGCATTTGTATCTGATCTCCATCTGCTGCTTTGCAGCTGCTATGTTTCACTGGCCTCAAAGCCCAAACAGGCAGAATTAAAGTGCTTGGTTCTGACATTAACAGTGAAAACTCTTCATTAGGCAGATAAGTTGATGGGATTCAGCTGATCCCAGCAGCGCCTCCATTCGCCTCAGCCCCAATAGGAGCAGAGTTTTATATGCAGTCCAGCCAGAGACGTGCAGGAGAGAAGACTCAGGAAGTCCCGGGACTAAAATTGGAGGAAACACCAACCCCAGATGACTTATCCTTCTATGACTCAACAATAGAATAATAGAACGGTTCACATCAGCAAAGTAGAGTCAGCCAAGAAAAACTACAGCCCTACGAGCCCCAACACAAATATACTCATGTATATTTTCATCATGTTACACAGGAGACCATGACTTATTTCAACAACCCAAAAAACACTGTGAGCTAATAGTTCATAATTACACACACACACACTCACGCACACACACACACACACACACACACAGCAATTATTGTTCCAACACAGGATTTGTAAACTTTGGAGTCATTTATAATTCCTTCAGACACCAAGATATGCACTAAGAGTCTACTTTCAAATTTCACATAAAGAATCATTAAACCAGTAGTTTTATTTTTTCAGTGTGATCTTTGCAGTAAATTCAAAGCCGACAAGCTGAGAGAAAAATCTGGTTCTTGATAATTGTCTTTATTTAAGAATAAACCAGTTCCAGAAACCAAAAGTCAAATGGGAAATAAATGTGTTGCAGTAACGACTAATACATTTCTAATTCTTTTCATCTTGCAAAATGAAACTTTGACTTGCCGTTTATAAGAAATTTTTTTGATTTGACTGAAATTGTGTAATTGAATAATGTCAGAAACAAAGTGGATTGAAGGTTTTCTTAACCATAACTGTCTCTGCCTTTTATGCAACTTCCCAAAATAGTTGTAGCAGAAGCTGTCGGCCTGCTAATTCTTCTGCTATAGTTCATGAACTTTTGCCCTCTTCTTGAGGCGCAGCACAGGTCACCAAATCCCCAGAGGGAATTTTCAGCTCCTTAATGCCAGTGTGTGGCCTCCCTACTTCTTCTGTGGACATAACGTTAACTTAAATCCCCTCTTCATATAACTCTGGGTAAGCAGAGGTTCTCATACCGCTCTGCCGCACATAAAGACGAAGTAAACACTTTGCCAGAGCGGGACTGAATTAAGCAATCAGGTGCTCGTATAATTCTAAACACAGTGCAAACAGACTGACAGATACTTGGCCAATCGGCTGCATGCAAGCCTTAAAGAGAAGGACAGAGGGAGACATGGAGAGAGCAAAGGAGGAATTGTTGGTGGTTGCGGTGATGCTCTCAGTGCTCTGTACTGCTATTGTGCATCAGTCATTGCTGGAAGCCAAGGCTGTCAGGACAGAGCAGGGTTTCCCCAGAGACCCCAGACTCTTTGCTGGAATGACCAGGAGGAAATTCAGCCTCCGGGAGCAGAGGACGGGTGGACAAAATGCCAGGACTTTTTACAAAACCTCAACAAAAAAAAAAAATCGATGAGTAACTTGTGGCGGTACAGCTACAGGAAAGGACTGTGACACGGACATTTGATTTGGCTTTAGAGGTATTCACAAGTAGTCTGGCAAAAACCAGTCCTTGTTCTATGCGTTGTTTCGTTCAGAGGGTCTGGACCTTCGGCTGGGAACCGACTGCCTGGTGAAGGCTTGGACTCTGTTGGAGCTTGGAACGTCTGGATCTGATTTCACCCAGTTTCAGTAACGTATGTAACGCACCAGCTCCATGAAGCTTACCAGGAATTGTGTGTGCTTTGTCTCAAACATTCTTCTTGCTCCAACTATAAATATTCAATATTTGGAAGTGTGGCCAACACAGATTGAATGATTTTGTTCATTTTCTCCTCTGTCATTTCCAAAATACACCATACAAATCTTCGGTTTGCTGATTGGCCCGGATTGGCCCGGTTGAAATTCATCTGGAGAAATCTATCTCGATGGAAGAAAACACAGAGAAGAACTAAAGGTTGATGAGAATCAAGCAGGATTGCAGAGGATGGCAATGGCCAGACTAATTCACAAATGATATAATCTAGCATACATTTAAATCCTGTCTTATTCAATTTGAAGGTCTGCCAGTACACACACCAGGATGGAATTGAACCAAATCAGTGAATTCATCGTTTAATATCAGTTTGATGATCTTATCTGAGCTTTCTGAGTCAACCAAATTATATTACAGTTCTTAAAAGGGGACGTCGCATCGCGTTGCCATGCTCCAAATATTTCAGATCCATGGCAGTTGCTGGAAAGCAGGTACTTTAGTGGTGCATGAAGAACACCATGTTCCACCAGCGCCGCCAAAAAAGAATCAGAAATCTGCCTTTTTTTCCTTTTCCTTTTTTTTTTTTTTTTTTAGCACTTTGCTTGAATCTTGGAACTGAGCAGCAGCTGGTCAGACCCCGTTTCTTCCTCTACCTGCGGCCTCGAAGATGACATGTGAAAACTTCAAACACGGTGATCACAATATGGAAAACTAGGGCTTGTGCAAGAAAAAATGCAACGGTTTCAAAAAGTGACCGTACTCTACAGCTACAACAATGTTGGATTCAAAGATCGACCGTCGCGCTTTCAATGACGCCAACGTTATATCTGTGCAGGTGTCATGTAGAAAGAAATGAAATATTAGCCTGAATATGAATATAACTGTGCAAAGTAATTAACAAAAACTACAATCATGAAATATTGAATATTTTCTCAGGCTGCACAGAGCAAAGAAAACACAAAACTGTATGTTTTCCCACCTGTAGCTGTTTAGCTTTTCTCCTAAAAAAGTGTATTTAGTTCTGTTGAACTGTCTAACTATCCAGCAACTTCCCAGTAACACATAAATAAACATATAATGCTGAAATGCATGTACTTCTTATGAAGAAAATGCATTCAGAAAGATACATGCAGCAGGACAAAAACAATGTACAGAGAAAGTTCACAGCAGCTGAACTTTAATATGGATTTAAAAACTGTCGTTTGGCGCCACCTGCTGGCAGAAACTCTTCACTGAGGAGAGTTTGTGAACCTTTCACTATCCTGCACTGCCACCATGTGGGGAGAAATGGAATGCACGGAATAATGTCAAGTATTTGAAGTGCATAATGAATGTATAATCACTTTACAGTTTCTATTTCATTCATCAGTAATGGTGATTTGTAAAACTGCTTCCATTTTCTCTTTAAAATTAATTTCCTTATGATTATTTCATAAAGGAAAGAAAAGATCCTAAGCTCGTGTATTCTCAAGCTGCTTTTGTAGCATTCTCAATTATTTGAATTTACCATAGTTTGCAATTATTCTCTGTGTTGAACAGTGTAAAAAGAATCATTTCTTTGGAGAAAATGGCAATTTAGTCTTCTTGGGGGGCTTTGAACCCCTTAAATCTGAGCTCTTTTTCAGATTTCAGAATAGTCAACTTCATTTGTTACTATAGTGAACGTTAGTTCTGACTCCTTCATTTTACTAGATTTTGGTTTATTGTGTTTTTGGTTGAAGCGTTCCATGTATGGACGGTTATTCCCTCTGGTTTCAGATGCTGACGAAGGTTTTTGCTCTTACATTTTTACTTTCAAAATATAAAATTGTGGCAACAAGGTATCACTTTGACAGCTGGGAGCAGCTGGTTGGCATCTCAAAAGCTGAAATGATAGGTGACCTCTGACCCCAAAGTCCCAGAGGAGTTGAAAAGGAATCAGAGGAAGTTCACACCATCTCGTCCTGGCTTTCAATCCAAACGGCCAGACAGATTTAAAGAGGAGCAGCAAAAGCAGATGAGGTGAGTTAGCAGAGCTTGCTAACTAATGACGTCATCCAGGATTTGCTGCTGTGGAAAATTATCTGTTATAACAGTGTTATGACAGTGTTATAACATGTCATAACACTGTCGTGACCTGTTAGCATGTCATGACAGTCATGAAACAGTCTTCAGTCAGAGGTTTCTTTAGATTCATTGCAAGACAGACTGCTACTGGAGACCCTTCATGCTCACAACATAATAAGAGTTACCACAACATCTAATTTCCCATTGGGATAAAAAAATAAAGTATTTTTGAATTAAACTAAGCCTCTTCCATTCAGGACTGACAAAAGGATAAAAACCCTTCTGGAGCCAGGCTGGGGGCTTGCGAGTGACAGTGATTCCCTAACGGCTCATTTCATCAAACACGTGGGTGTATAGGGGCATTTCAGCCTGCCGGCTCCCACAAAACACGCCACCCAGCTCCTCAAGAAAAGACCCGAGGAAATCCGGAACGCTTCATTACATCTGTCAGCGAGACGCTTTAATTTAGAGATCAATTTCCAACCCTGGCCTGATCTCCTCGCGGTCGGCGCACAATCACCCCTCTGCCGGCGCTGGAGATAAATTTCAAAAGGCTGGAAATGGCTCATAACAAGCTCGCAGAAGTCAATCTCTCCGAAAACATGACGACACAATAACAATCCATGAAATGCATGAAGGCTCTATTGATTTAGTTAGACAGGGAAGATAAACCAGCAGCTGACCTGAGCTCTGGGAATCCATCAGCAGCTTCTAACACACACAGGTGTGCGTGAGTGTGTGTGTGTGGTGTGTGTGTGTGTGTGTGTGTGTGTGTGTGCGTGTGTGTGTGTGTGTGTGTGTGTGTGTGTGTGTGTGTGTGTGTGTGTGTGGGTGTGTGTGTGTGTGCCTCCACTGAAAGATGAGGCAATTCTTTCTCGTTTAACCTCATTCATTTTTCTGTCACCTCATCAGCTAAGTTCTCTGGTTACCATGACAATTTCCATTTTGGCACAGAGAGCTCTGGCATGCCTAGCGAGCCCAAGGACATGCTACCACATCTAAAATAACGTGACGCGCTGTTGCTTTCGCACAGAACAAAAAACTACTTTTAATAATAGAATATATGAACAGTTTGTAGCCCAGACAGTATTTTATCTTTTTAACATTTTAAAATTGTCTTGTTTCCCAATAAATACATTTCTAGGTTGCGCCCGGAAGTTAAATCTTTATTTGGTGGAGGCAGTATTATGGTATGGGAACATATTTCTCTACAGTCTTCTGCCTGTAATATCTACAGGGCTGGTCCAATAGTATATATGAGTTAAGCAGATGGCTACAGCCGCCAAGCGCACCAAGCCATCATGGTAAAAACATATATACATTTCAAATAATTTAGAATGATACAAGCGAAATGCAATTCTATATGGAAAAAAATATTGCTATGTTTTTTTAGTTGCTACATAAATAATAGTTAATCTGGTCCTGGAATTGATTGCTGCCACTGTGGGGGGAAAACTGTTGTTGGAGAAAAGTAAATGTAGTGTTTATATGCTGACGTTGCATTGAAGTGGTTACAATATGGCCGCACTTAAATACCACTTTGCAATTCAAAATCCTTTTTTTTTTTATGCAGCCTAATTACAAATGATGCTAATGTTAGTTGATATGCCTCACACAGAGTGGATTAGGAATTATAAAGCATCTGGTGTTGGTATAATGGGGCCCTCATAAAAATCTGCTTAGGGCCCCAAAAACGCTTGGACCGGCCCTGTACATACTCTTGAACCAAAAGAACAAAACAACAAAAAACGCCTAAAGTTACAAAAGCTAAGAGTTTCTAGTGTTGCACTCACCAGTCAGTGTGCTGATCGTCAACCACCAGCAGGATCTTGGGTTTGCGTACTGCAGGCTTGACCGGCTGACCGCCTCCAGCAGAAGCAGCCTCAGTTGCAGCAGCTCCGGCTGACTTGGCGTGTGCAGCGGCGGCGACGTTCTGGGCCATCTGGGCACTCTTCACCACGCTGGAGAAGGAGCTGAGGAAGCTCCCCGAACCCACTGCTGAGGCCGGGTTTGGGCCTGAACCCGAACCCGAACCCAAACCCAAACCCAAACCCGAGCCTGAGCCTGAGCCTGAGCCTGAGCCTGAGCCTGAGCCTGGGGTCTGGATGGGGAGGCTCGGGGGCTGACGCCTCTCGGTGGCCGGGGAGGCGGGAGATGAAATGGATGATCCTGGCGGGGCCGGCCTCTGCAGGTCCATCATGTAGCCGTTGGGCAGGTTGGCCACGAAGCTGCTGTCAGACAGGCGCCGGCGAAGGTAGTTCATGACGACGGGCTGGTGGGTCGGTCAGGCCAGAGGAGGTAAGGAACAGAAATCCTACAGAACGACACACACACACACACACACACACACACACACACACACCACACACACACACCACACACACACACACACACACACACACACACACACACACACCCCAACCTCAGTGAACACAAAATTCAGTTTTATTAAAAATGCTGACGTTGCTCATTTCTCTGTGAAAATGACCCAGTATTAAAATCTGTTGATTATTTTCGTAGAGTATATTTAAAGTATTCAAAAGAAAATGCAGTTCAGGTCGCTAAAATACACTAGCTAGCCTTAATACTACTCTACAAGGTATTGACTGGCGCTGGCGAGGCAGCCAATCATTTATTTCCCTTGGCAGTGATTGGCTGGACAGAGGTTAGTTTCTGCTGTCGCTGTAAGACACTGATGGGGTCATAGTTGGCGTTTGAACTGTCAAAATAGACGACTGTTAACTGCCAGTGCTTGGAAATAAATTTAGGACCTAACTCTGGTCAGACTGAGAGAGTTAAAACGAGAAAACCTTGTTTTAACTTTCTTCCCGTCACAACGATTTGCAAAGCATGTAAAAATGGGAAACTCTAAACAAGAAACTTGTCAGTTGGAAGTTTACTTTCACAGTCGGGACTTGTTGAAAAGTTACAGGGTCTCACACTCTGTTCCCTCTAGATCAGTGGTTCCCAAAGATTGTCTGTTCCCCTATATGAATTCCAATAAAATCTATAGGGTTTTATCACCTGCATCACCAGGCGGTACGATAAAACTGTACCGCCTGGTGGCAGTACAGTTTTTCCTCCATTAGACGTAGAAACTGTACCATTGGGCAGTTTTTCAACTGCACACAGTTGGGAAAAAAATAAAAAAATGAACTGGGCACACATATGGTTCAACCAGACATAAACCACACACTTTGGGAACCGCTGCTCTAGATGATGACTAACAATCCCAAGAGCTCAGCCTTTTTAATATTACAACTTTACTCATTTAAAAAAGACATTTTGGTTTTAAAGAGACATAAATACCGTGATGCTTTTATAATCTCATTAAAACAATGTTATTTTGTTGAAAGGAGAAGTGTGGTAAAGTAAACACATTTATGTAATTGCTAGAGAATATAATTTCAAACCAGTGGTAAATATGCAAGAGCTACATTAGAATGATTAAGTTTTGGCTTTGCTCGGCTCTGCAGCACACGGTTTCTCCTGAAGGTCCGGCTCCAGTTGATGAGGGCGTCCCACCATCTGGCTGCCCTCAGAGCATCCCGGCTCTTCGGTCCAAGCTTCAACGAGTCAACATGACGTGGAATCGGCTCATCTGTGTGAACGCGCTGCCGCATAATTCAGTGACACAGAAGTGAGAGATCCACAGCAGCGGTCTTTATAAAGCATAGAGTTCATATGGAAAGATGGAGTTACATAACATCTGTGACGCAGAGCAGAATCAGTGGCGCCGGCTTGTTAACAGAGGGGAAGAGGGAACCTTTACACCCAATTAAAACCGAGCTGCTGTTTTAAAAGACGTGGCGTCGCCTCTGCGTTTTGTGGTTAAAGACGGAGGAGGAACTTAGAGAGCAGCAGAAGCAGGATGAGATGATGGAGGTCGAGTGTTAAATCATCATGACAAGTTAATCATCACCAGTAATTGTTTGATAAGAGTGAATCTAACCTCATCGTCTCCAGACTGGAGACTGAGGTCTCTCTGGGCAAAAGGTTGCAGCACACCTTCCCTTCAGTGATGGTTGTAGTGGACAACATGGCCGCCTCCTAACGCCATGTCTTCTGGTGATTGGAGGAATAAACTCTTTCAGGTTTCTCCACCAGATCTTTGTTTCATAAAGAATCTGCCCAGCATCACAAAAGTTAGAATCGTTTTCATCCTGATGGTGAGCCATCCTGGCCGAGTCGCAGCAAAACAAAAGTAATGCACACTATGTTTTTGTTTAGAGCAAACTTTTAAATGCTTCCCAAAAAAGAAAATTTGAATTAGGTGAGTTGCCTTCTGCTGGTTTGGAGTGAATCAGTCAGTCTACGCAGAGGATAACTTGGTCAAATGCTGACCGTCTTTATGGCTCTAATAAACAGGAAGTAGAGGTTGCTAACTAGCATGGACCACATGTCTCAGGAGAATGGAGAAAATCCAGAGATTTGGTGCATCTGGTAAGGCACAAACCCAGTAGTGGATGGGAGCGTTCGCTACGTCAGTACGGAAAAGCCAAAAACCACGACAAACGAGACATTTCTAGTGAATACTTCAAAGTGTTGATGGAAACACATCAGCTCTCCAGCTGGCCTGGTATTCTGCTTTCTACTAGGAAATGTCTAGCCATCAGTTTGCCACTTGAAGCCCAAACAAACTTGTATTATACAGCTGGAAACTGGAAATTGATTAGAGCAAATCCTCTAATCAATTGAACAATTTTGCAAAGTATGGGTCTAAATTCCTCCACAGCCACATAAATGGTAGTAGAATCAAATGCTTAATGGTAGCTGTTATCACCAGGAGAGACAAGGCCAGGTTCTGGCGGGGTTGGTGCAAGCATCAACAAGGAGACTAAATGCCTGAGTTGTGAAGTGTGGAGAATTGCAACATAACTCAAGAAGACAAACGTGTGAGAGTCGCGCTTTGTACTGATATGAAGGAGCTTGACACCCAGTTCAATGCTGACAGCTTCCAACTGGAAGCTGAGACTAATGAGAATTATCTCGACTGCCACCGCACGCCACCAACAGGCCTCTGAACAACTCATAACTGTTCTACGCAGATTGTCACCTCAATACTGACAACCTTAGCGCATTGTCAGATGCGCTAAAGTTCAACATGTCAGCTGGTGGGTTGAACAATGGTTCCCGTCACAGAGAGCGACATCGTCTTCCCATTGGAAGTCTGATTTTTGGCTGATCCGTCATAAAGCTTATAACTTGAGTCAATTTGGAGGAAACTGCAGTAAAACAAACAGAACAGCTGAAAGTGACGATCACAATCACAATGACAGTCAGTGTCGCCATCAGAGTGATAGAAAATCACTGTCATTGCTCCACTGGCACTTTCTCCTCTTCCTTAACACCCCATAAGCTGCTTTCTGCCGGAAGCTGCTAAAGCCGCTTCGTCTTTGCCTCTCGGCTCTCTCTGCTGAATATTCACAGTGGGAGGAATCCACAGGGGGCCTTGCTGCATTACAACTAACCTTGTAGCAAGCAGAAGCTTTAGCAGAGTTTGTCAGCAGAGAATGAACAGTGGAAAGAGGACAGGTTGACTCTGTATTGGGTTGAGGTCTCGACTTTTTCTGGCAAACTTTAATCACACCATTATGCTTTGATCTAAGCCAGTCTTTCTCAAACTGGAATTTATGGCTGCAGGAATAGTTTTCAGTTCCTCAGGATGAGCTGCACAACTTTTATTGTTTTTAGAACACCTTTACAATACGTATCGTATCGTATTGTATCGTGTCCTATTGTGTTTGATGTTTTTAAAATCTGTAAATAATTCAAAATGTTCCAAGTAGACTTGTTAATGGCTTTGTCGTGACCAGCCACATTTACAAAACAGAACCATCCTTCTCATTAGGACGGGCAAAGAAAACAATAAGTCAGTTAAGAGACTAATATTTTCATTTCAGGTTGGAAGAGTTATTGTGTAATTGTGGGGCGCAATTTCAAGGTCTGTGAAAGTTTGCTCAATGGTCTTCAACTTGACAAAGTTTGAGAAACATTGAACTAAGTCCTCCTGTTAAGTCCTTCCCTCTTCTGGATGACAAACTTTTGTTGCCATTTTCCGGTGGTTACATTGCTGCTGTAGCACCAGTTCTACATGCTTTCAATGCTGCAACCAATGCGGTTATCTAGTCAGAAACTCACGGAGGCTAAAAACCGATCACAAACTTGTGAATACCAGATTCAAGGTTGATATGTCTGAAACAAGTCCATGGCCTTGAGCCAGAAAAGAGTTGCATTGCCCTGCCTGGGTAGAGGACAAGGTCAATCAATAAAGAAAAACCAGAACTAGAGATGCCGAGATTCTATATAATACTTGATGTTCTGCTTCCAGTGGAGAACAGAACTTGAATCCAACACTGTGGAGTGTGGATTACTTAGAGGAGGGATTCGTGAGGTACTAACACACTGACAGCAAACAGGGGAGGCAGTAATCACATGTTTCGCTCTCTAATGATGGGGAAGAGAGTGATAATGCCGCAGCAGACTCTCGAGGCCCCCACTGACGTACAACGCGCCTTCTGCTATGTTCAAAATATCTTGCAAGTGAAGAAAACCGCAGCTCCTTCCCACTCCACTCGCGTTGTATTTATTTTTTTTCCTTGTTCTTCACATCCTGCCTGTGAATCCGTTAAAAGTAGCACATAATCCCAATGGCTGCTCTGTGAATTTGACAGTCGTTGATTAGCCGGCAAAAGCAGCACAACGTCCATGACATCCTCCAACATGGACTGTTCCTGTGGCGGATTTTCACTTTCTGAGACATGCTAGTGGAGCATGAAGTGTTAGGTTATAGCAGCGGGGTAAATATAGATCTGGTATGATAGATACTTTTTATTTTTCCTGACATTCTGAGCGGACGGAGCCGGTCGGAGCGAAGGGTCGCCGGCAGGACGACGGGTCAGAAACAGGCAGAGGAAGCTGAGGAGAAGTGGGAAGACAGCAGAGACTGATCCAAAAGGAAGAGGAGGTGGTAGGAGCCTACCCCGGGGCATTATGGGAGATTATTAATAAATGTGTGGGGCCCACTGCCAGATGGATTATCACGACAGTTTCTATTTTGGAGTTTTACAGAAAGATCTTAGATTTAGAGCTTCTGTAATCACCGCTGTTACTTTTAGAGAGCAGATATTTACATCCGCCGCATAAAGAGACACTGGAAACTTTTTCCCTCTGACATTAAAATCAGACTTTTACTATTTTAGGTTAACTTATGTTACCAAAATTCTTTGTATTTGTTAAAGGTCAAGATAATAAAAGTGAACTTCTACTCTTTATTCGAATTCAGAATGTTACGGCATTACTTTACCTTTAAGCAGTTTGGGGGTTTTTGCCTCACATTTTGCCGTATTTTTCAAATGAAGAGATTCCGACGGTGAAGGTAAACCGACAGAGTGCTTCTGCGGTCAGTGGCAGCCCAGGTCTTCCTAGAGTTTTACTCGGACATGAAGGCCAGTCGGACCACAAAAGTAAGACACTGACCTCCTATCGCCACGGTGACGTCAACAACACGACTCATCGCCGTTTCTCTGCTTTAATCACACAACTATTGATACTGCAAAAAGAAAAAATAATAAGAAAACAGAGACAAGAAAACTTGGAGATGCTGCCCAACAAGCACTTCCATCCCCCCATACTGCACATGTACCAACCCACATGTACCATACTGCACATGTACCAACCCACATGTACCATACTGCACATGTACCAACATGTGCAGTATGTTGTATTTTCATGTAACACTTATTGATTACTAAAGGAAACAGATTGTAATGACAGTACTGAGTTCTCAAGCTCTTATTTTGATGTGTTACATTTCCAGTATTTAGGGCAAGTCGGTGGTGCGTTGACTGAAACATCTGCACACCCGCCTCTACTCCTCTTATGTAATCACTGTTTTAATGAGGGATTATGGCTGTTTTCTGATTCTGCATACTCATGACAGGTATGACTGTGATGTTATATTTTTTTATTATTATTAATTTATTTATTTCAGCCTGAAATGAAACACCAATGAATTGGGGTTTATGATGTTCCCTCTTCAGCCATCCAATTTCTGTAGATTGTTGCTGAACATTAGCCAGAACATCTTGATCTGGCTACGTGAGTCCGACTATATGAAACTATTTGAGACAATCGGGAGGAAAAAAAACAATGATGAAAGCTGAAGTTATTAGACCCTTGAACTCCGGGTCTTCTGCAGAGGTTTTTGTGTCATTTCCTTCAGTAGTTCTTGTTGCAGGGCCGCCGCCGGCGCCACCAATCAACCGTTTTTCAAGCGTGAACCACACCAACTGAAAATGGAACAAATGTTGCAACTTTCACCAATCAAACCAAGTCTGTCTGATTATCATGGAGGAAAACATCCTAAATCCCAAACTTGTGACCCCATTTATCCACAGAGAATGACGCAGCATCAATGATCCACTTCCTCTGTGCCTTCGTTCATTGGTGTCTGTGTTGCCCTGCTGTTTCTTTTAATGAGCCGTGGAAAACTTGTAAAACACTCACTTGGGAGAACTCGATTAGACGTAGGGTGTTAGCAGTGCACTAAAATGAAGGCTTGCTGTGCAGCTATTTTGGCTTCACTGACATTTGCAACAAAACAAGAATAACAAAGAAGTTTATAGGGATAAAAACCTTTTTTTTTTTTTTTTTTTTTTAAATGCGTGCTCTGTTCAAAGCGAGAGCAGCCGGCGGTGATGAGAAAGACGCCGCTGAACTGTGAACCGTTGTCGACTGTGGAGCCAGGACAGGCTCTGCGACACGACAGAGCGTCTCCTGCAGCACTGGCATGCTGGAGAGGCGAGGCGAGGCGAGGTGTCACAGCCGAGTCCCCACACAGTGACCTCCCAGCACTTCTCACAGCAGACGCCACATTAGTTCAAACACACACACTGTAACAAAAAAAAAGAAGACACACCCACACACTTCGTCTTCCCTGCCTGCAGGCAGAGGACTGCTGTAGTCATAGGAAAGCTTCATTAGAAATCTAAAGAAAAAGCCTCTGATTAAAAGTGAGAGCTTTTAACCAGACTTCGAATAATTTTTTTCAAAAAGGAATTTTCTGCTAGATTAGTGGAAGATCTGCTGGTTTTTTAGGGACTTGAGTTTAATTCGATGATTGTAAAAAGTCATTGAAGCAACTTCCAAAATGAACTACTTAACGACCCACACAGTGTCAACTTCCAAACAAATACGCATTTGTATAAGAGGAGGGCGTTTAGTGCATCATCTGCAATTTATTGCAAAGAAATGCTAGGAATTCAGATTCGTTGTTGCCTTGATGGAATTCAATTTAAACTGACAGTATTATCAGTGATGTTATTTTCACTGGTTTCTTCACTGTTTGTCCCGAGACAGCGTTAATGAATATCAGCTGCTGTGTGTGGCTCGGTGATGTAACGGCTGTCCTGAAGATGCCGGTTTGAAATGGGAGGGTCTTTCAGAAACGGTGTTTGTGTTGCCATGAATCAGTGGCATCAGCAGAGACGATGCCGAGAAAAATTGTAAATGCGCACGGCTAAAAGAAATATATAAATATATAAATTATTTATATGCATATATATTTAAAATATTATAGATTTATTTATTTATTGGGTTTTACATTTATTGATTAGGCTTGAAACTTGATTTTCTTGGAAGGGGTAGCAGCAGGGTGGCCAGCGTTTTTAAATCTGTAGTGCATATTATCCACTCTTAAATTGTTGTATCTCAACTTATCCTGACTGGTTGATCACTTTTTGGGATTAAATTTGGACAAAAAGGGTTGGTTTTATTTCATAAACTCCTCCTGAAGCCAGAAGCCTGTAATCATTGGCTGTAACCCCCCCCCCACACACACACACACACACACCACGCCCCCGTCCTGCTGGGGAGCATCTGCTGGCTCAGATGTAGATAACTGGTTATGGGCAGAACATTCCTCAGCCTCCTGATGGCCCCATTAATATTTCATGAGTGACTTTGGGAGTATGACATCATCATCAGCAAATATTAGAACGGAATCTAAAATTTACTGTCCAGCTTTACTTAAACTCTGCAGAACAGGTTCAAAATATACGTTTTTTGGCAACATAGAGTTACATTTACGCAGATTAAACAAACACATCGAAATTTAAACCTAAGTCAAACTGAAATAAGTTATTTTTTTAAAGTTCTAAGGCAGCTGAAATATATATATATATATATATATATATATATATATATATATATATATATATATATATATATATATATATACAGAAATAGAGCTAAATGAAAAAAATTTTAGAAAGCGAAATTTGCATGTCATGTAAACTTGTTTCTTGTCATTTGGATGATTATGGTTCATAGATTCATAGAAAATCCTGAATTCAGTGACTCAGAAAAAGCATCGTCATAGAAAGTTGAGTGGAAGGAAAAGATCTCTGAGGAACAGGTGAACCAGCAACATGAGAGGACTGTTAACCGAATCCAGAAAATCCTTGTAGAATATGATAATTATGGTAGAAAATTCTCAGAGAGGTTTCCCCCAAAGATACTGACTGAACTCTTAATGGAACCCCAGGTTCAAGTAAAATATGACATATCACTTTATACTCATTTTAAACGTGAGCCAGATAGCAAGTCTGATTGGCTGCTTGTCTGCATCTTCAAAATGATAAAGAGTCAGTACAAAAATTTGAAAATACATTTTAAGTAAAATTTTTCATCTCTTTACTTCCTCTGGCTTCATCCAATAGCAGCTCAGTGGAACTGAAAGCAGCCAGCTAACAGTCCTTCCCTCACTTACTATTATTATTCGGTGATTTTAAGGAGAATCCAAAGTGCAACAGGACGATTTGATGAAGACAGTCCAAACACTTTTACAGAGAACTGGACAGGTGGGAAGGGCAGAGAATCCAGGTGAGAACAGATAGTAACCAAGGTAACGAGGAACAGCTTCTGCTACTGATGCTCTGATTAGCTGCAAACGTCAAAACTCCTGTAACATCACAGAGAAACGAGATGAAAGATATCCACTTCAAGTGAGACGCTGACTGCGCACAAACGCTCAACAGAAACCCGAGTAAAAAGACAATACGATCAAAATGGGAATTATTCCTTTAAGATGCCGCATCCACTGCAGCTCTAAGAGTCACTTATTCCTCCAGGAAACAGAAAAGTGACGTTAGGAGGATTAGAAGTGACTCTGGATGAGGCAGCAGCAGCAGCTGCTGCTGCTGCTGCTGCAGCAGATCACCGGGTCACAGTGATGAAATGGATCCATACCCCCCGGTCCGGAGTGTGCGGGACTTCTGGGCTGCGGGGCCCCGGCGGAGGGAGGGAATCCCCGCACTCTCCGCCTCAGACAGGCTGAGCAGAACCCAGAGTCCCTGAACGCGTCCCGGCCAAGCGGAAGGCTGGTTCCGGTGGAGCGCGCTTCTCTCTCCAAACAGCAAACCTCGCGACAGGAAGCGATAAAAACACAACGGCTGCGAACAAAGAGGCGCTGCGCGAATTACATGCGCAAAAAACGCGCAATTTACCTGAGCGGCTGGTGAAGATGAACAAGTGTCGGATGATGACTCTTCTTCTTCTTCTTTCTTGGATGATGCTGATGATGCTCCTGCTTCTTCTTCTGCTCTCCGATCCGTGGTCCTCCTCAGCTTGTCAGACAAACCCTTTCCTCTCTCTCTCTTTTCCTCTCTCTCTTTTTGTCTCTCTCACGCGCAGACACGCTGACACACACACACTCTCTCTCTTTCTACAAGGGATGCTGGGAACGTGACGAGTGTACTGGATTCATTACTGCAGTCGGTTCTCGCAGCTGATTGGCTGATGGTTTAATTAAGACATTCAAAGCAGAAATCATACACGGCTCTATGTTCATGTATGAACGTGCTTTGTGTTTCATCGGGCTTCTATGTGATTGACCACAATGTCTTTTTTTTTATTTATATGAATAAGAATCTGAAAAGTATGGCTTGTTTTCTGTTTCTCCAGAGTCAAAATTGGAACAGCTTTCGGTGTCTGGACGTCTAGAGACAGAAATGTTTTCATGCTTCTTTGCCGAAGACTCTCGGCTGAATTTAGATCTCCACTTTGACTAGGCCACTTAATCGCATGAATGTGCTTTGATTGAAGCAATGTGACTGGCATGCTTTTAGCAGCATCTGCTATTTCATAAACTCTGACTAGATTCTGTCATATTTTATTTACTGCTGATGGAAAAAATGATATTTTACATTGAAATATGACATCAGAGCAGTGAAATATTTATTTTGATACAGAAATGTGGGCTTAATAAAATATATATTTCTCCATGGTGAAGCATGGTGGTGACAGCATTAGGCTGTGGGGGAAAAGTTTTTCAAAAAATACTTTATTTATTCTCAAGAACTCATACCGTATCTTCACAGTGGCTATGGATGAGAAGGATCTCCAGTAGCAGTCAGTCTCACAAGGAAACGGAGTATGCTCCTGACTGAAGACGGCTATGAAACGCTAGCCGCTCAGTAGAAATGTCCTGGATGATCCCACCTCAGCTAATCCACCTCATTTGCTTTTGATACACCTCTTTAAAACCCTGCCTGCAAATTCAAGAGTTTCAAAGATAATTCAAAGGTTGATTGTTAAACGACAACTACATGTATAGCTTTTGGTGCATCAGGACAGAGTAAATGCACCAAGTACATTTAGATGCTGACACAGATCTCATGATGTGACCTGAGCTAACAGGAAACGGCAGACTTCCATCTGGACACGAGAGCCTGCAGAGGCTCGGGTCAGTCCTTGGACGATTCATGACGAAGCAACAAAACTGCAACCCGGCGGGAAAATGAAATGATTGAAGAATCATTTTCTATTTGCAGTAGATGTAAAATATGCGACAACTGAGCCCAGGCGTCACTGATGTAACCGGCTGCAACTCCCAAAGTTTTATACTGGGTCCTATTTTTTCTTCTGGATTCTTACGACTCATGTAACAGGATGACTAGAGTCTAATTATGACCAAACGCCACAAACGTGAAGCTGAATGAAGGGAGACTGAATGAAAGCTTCAAAAAGTGATTCCAGATTTCAGCAGCTGCAGCAGCTCCTGCATTTCAGATTTTCTGCTGATTCATTCCAGATTCAAGCTTTGTTGTTGTTGTTGTTGCCATTGTCTCGTTAAAGATGCATTGTGCTGTGCATCAGTGGAGCAGCTGTTGCTCCTGCGTGCGTCTGGGAAACGAGAAGAGAGGAATGGGCGGCCGTCCACAGAGCAGCACAAACACGTCACAGCAGCGTCTTCTGGAAGCCTCGGATTTCATGCGAGTTTCCTGAAAAAGACATCCAGAGCCTCGGAGCAATTCAGTTGAAACGCTACAACTTAAGCCACAATGAATCAGACAAAATCAGAAATTCTGATTTTGTGAAAGTGGTGGGGCTGGCTGACCTTTTGACTTTTAAACTTTAATTAATATCTTCAAAGTTAAAGCAAAATAAACAAAATTCTTTGCTACACAATCGTAGTAGAGTCGATTGGCACCAATTTTGTCCGATTTCGGGGGCAGGGGTCTGGTTGACCTCTGGAAACATGTCTGAATATATTTAAAATGATATGAGAAACGTAGCACAAACATTTGACACCAATTTTGTTTGATTTGAAGAAGGTGCAGGGAGGGCGGGCAACTTCAATGAGTCCTGAGATTTCAATTGGAAATATAGGAGTTTATAAATAAAACGTATTATTATTGTAGTTCATTCATGAATGAAAGTTTATTGTTTTTAACAGGACATCTAAAAACTGATATAAAACGAAGTGATAATCATGTAAAATATTGCAACATGATGTTGACAGTGTGGAAATATCAATCTTTTTTCCATATTCAGCTTTTTAATCCACTTCACTGCTCTTTTAAACTTCCCCAGGCTGCCTAGCAACCCGTCTTCAGCGGGCCTCAAGTGGTTTGGTGTAAATCTGACGTGGCTCCTTAATAATCAGCTGATCAACAGACACATTACTGATCTACTAGAACTGAACCGGTGACTGAGGAGAGCCGTCACACTCAGGTCGGCCCAGAAACCAGGACAGGACTCTCATTTCACCAACTTGTTCTTATCAGGAAACCGAAACGGTGAGATTCATCATCCGACAGGCTGAGGATGTGATGCAGGGGGAAGAGAGGAGCCGGGAGGCCACACAGCAGCAGCCACGTCGCGCACACGACAGGAAGTGGCTCCTCAGGCTATTTAATGTCACTGGATATTTCCTGCCAGTGGGTGGGGGGGTGGCTGTTACGTCCTGCGGGTCACAGCAGGAAGCTCCATCTTAATGGGCTGCAGAGGCATAATGGAGAAAACGTGATGCAGCGGACATGACAGTCCAACACATCCACCCTCCACCTACTGTCTGATCACAACCATTCGACATCATTTATAAGAATGAAACACAGAGAAGAGCTCTCACATACTGCCACAGGAAGGCAAGGTGAGTTTATTGATACAGCACCTTTCAGCCAATCACAATTCAAAGTGTGAGGAAGTTCAAAACAAATTAGATTCAATTTAGTCAAGTTTTAAAAAAGAAAACTATTTCATTAGGGGTTTTTATCTGCTACGCTAACAAATTTCATAAATATGAAGTTCAATGAAGAAAGTCACACAAGCTCACAATAGGAAGCAACTTTATTTTGAAATGATCCAGGAGGAAGCATGACTTTACATCAAGATTTGTAAAATCCTCCATTCCTTAGTATACATTATGAAAAGAAAATTAAAATCAAGGAGCCCTTATTTTTTACATTTTAAATTTTTAAAAGGGACACATAAATTTAGTGGCTCACAAAAAGCAGTTCTGGCAAAGTATTTAATGCTCTAATTCTGTGTAATTCGATTACAAATAAAGTGAAATGGGAAAAGTAGATCAACAAAAACTCACAGTAAGGTTCAAAGGTCTTGGTGATGAACCGCCACAGATCTGAACAAGATCGATAAGAAACAGAAGATGCTGTAAAAGTGAAGGTTGTCAAGGCACTTAGCATCGAACCGAGCTGTTTCAGCTCGCAAAAACGAACAAAACTAAAACAGTCAGCCAAACAGCATGTAGACAACTAGACACCAGCTTAAGTGTAATAATCTGTCATTATTGCACAGATTACTGCCTGCCAGAGGAGCCGCTGGCAAGCAGAGTTTACCCAGACCTGTAAAGTCTCCCATTTTGGCTGGGAAACTACCATTTTTTACTCGCCGGGTTATTATGATCTGCAGTCACTTAATTGTCCATTTTAGTCTCCACTTGTACTTTTTTTCACTTCCATCATTTTTATATTCTGGACATGTTTGCTGAATAATTCGTTGAGTTTACCAAAAGACATCATTACCCCCTTTGACATGTTTTTGTTTTAGATGATTTAATAAAAATAAAAAATCATTAAACTTCCTCCACTGTTCTTACTTTGCTCAGGCTATGACACAGGAATTGTTTGAAGAGCTGGCTTGATTTGACGCTGTGCTGCCTTGATACACTGGTGCACTGCGTTGATACACTGGTGCACTGCCTCGATTCACTGGTGCACTGCCTCGATTCACTGGTGCACTGCCTTGATTCACTGGTGCACTACCAAATATGTCAACCAGCGGGTGTGTGGTCCCATACGTCAGCAGGTACTCAGGATAGATCTGGTGCCTCTCAAAGATAACAAAAATAGAGGGATTTGCGATGTCGTTGACACAACTGTCGTAGAAGTTTATGTCTCCTCCGTCTTTGGAAGGAGGTCGGACGTAGCTGGAGTCCCCTCGTGTGTAGCTCCCCACCAGGACACGAGACACAAACATGGTTTTGACATCAGAGTCACCAGTGTAGCTATGGGAGTATTTAGCGTCCCGAGCAAAGTAGCTTCCTGTGATTAGAAACAAAACGATAACCGAGAAAGACGAAACACACGTTGAGCTTTACGGCAGTAAGAAAGGCAGGTCTTTAATGGATTATGGAGTTTTAGCATGTTTATTTGAATGACATTGTTTCTTCTCCAGTCCCATAGTATGTCATCCAAGAAACTATAAAAAGTTAAGATTGTGGAAAAACACCGAAGTATCTTTTACAGTACAATTTTTGTTACATGTGTTGATAAGGTAAATTTAGAAAGAAAGGACTTTTCATACACTGGGGTAAACCGTGACTGAACCATCACCTTTAACCCACCTTTGCCATAAGCTGTTCCATTAACGCCACAGATCCTCCAGTCAAAGTTGTTGAGACAAATGGCGTCGATGTGTTTCGAGTCAGTCCCATGAAAAAGTTGCTTTTCTTCCACCTCACGTCCATTGTTGTTGTTCTTCATCTGAGTCTTTTGCCTAAAGGTAAAAATGTGGCAAAGGAATGTCCCTTAAAAACATGTTCACAGAGGTAACATGTTGCCAAAGTTTCACCTGGTAGCTACCTCATGAGGTATCTACCTCATGAGGTAGTTACCAGAGGATATCTGTTAAAAGTATGACTAGCTGAATGACCAAAGACTCTATTAAAATAAACAGAATCAAAAAACCATCCAAGTTTTTAACTTGGTCCATAGCATACATACAACTGAAAGGCTTCCCAAAGCACCTTGTTCTGAATCCTCTCTATCTTGACAATATCGAAGCCTCTCAAGGTCGAATGAAAACGTGCTTCAATCTTTTGAAATTCACCCGAAGTGCGCGGGACGGCAACTCTCTACAACACACAGAAACAGGAAAGGTTTCAGTGGCAGCGACCAGGGCCAGCGGATGGAGGAGAAATATCAAACAAATGTGATTCGCCAAGGCAAAAATGAGGCCAAGTTGGCAGGACACAAACTGTGAAGAATAACAAAAAAAACATCCAAATCTGAGAAAACGGAAAATACTTTCAGTTTCTCATGTTGGAGTGAGTGTCAGAACTTTGACGTTAAAATGCTGTTACGACACACAGTTTGTAACAGTTTGTGAAATATAAGTTAATTAGACCATTTTAGAGAATGTGTATTTATTAACAAAGGTATGAGCTTATTGTGACAATTATTAATTTAATTCCATATAGTGATTTTGCTTCAGTAACAAACTGTTTATTCCAGTCATATTTGCATTTTGAGGTGTACAAAATATCAGAGCAATGTTATTTTATCTAACATTTATCTAAGTTCGAAACATTCGCCCTCTGGCTCGGTCTTGGTTTGAATTCCATCATTGCTGTTTGCTTTCTATACAAAAAGTATGTAATTCACCCCAATCCCCCCACAGAGTGGAGAGGCAGGAAACCCTAACCCTACAGTGAGTTTATTATACCGAGAATCCTGTTGGTGGGATCTGAGTCTTGTCCCAGTGGTCTGGCACAGGAGAAAAGATTGCTGGAGGCTTTCTGCAGGAATAGATGGTGAGGATAAGTTTCATGTTGAACCATTTTAAAACATTCACAACCAGACGACTAACTAAAGCTGCTTTAGGTCACTACCTCATTTTTTTGGTTCGGACATCAGCGGCAGAGACAAACCGAGGACGTCTGCTCACAAGCCTCTTAGTACGGTAATGCTTGTTAGTTTGAATCATGTCTGCAGGAAAGAAAGATATTAATTGAAGTTGTATTTATTTGTTTTTCGAACCTGTTTCAAATGTCAAAGTCTTGTGTTTTACCCTGGATACTAAGAGTATAAGACTGGGAGCCAGCAGAGAACTCCACTTCACTCTCATTGTCCAGAAACTTCTGCTCCAGAGTTTCACTTCTGATGTCTGATGATTTCCCTCCGGCGCTCTGCAACACAGTGTTGGTGGTTCTGGCTCAGTACATGGAGACTCAGGTTCTGACCAGAGAATCTCATTCAACATGTTTGCTGTATTTCCTATAAGGCCAGAGGGAGGACTTCCCAAACTTCTGATTTTGAGCACAAAACGAGCAAAATCTTGACACAAGTATTTAGAAAGCATATAAAAACTTTGTGTACTCACATCTGAACCGTACAGGTTCCACTTTCCAAACTCGTCCTGCCAGTACCAGAGCCACTCCGTGGTGTGGATGAAGGTCGGCTCAACCAAAGAGTTCACCGTAGTGAGCCGCCGCACTTTGTTCCCTCCACGAGTCATGGTGTCAAAATGAACAGGCGGACTCCCGCTGCTGCAAACACAAAGCAACGCTTTCCTGAACTGAGAGGAATCACAATAAATGTTATAATTGTTAAACTCGTCACCGTCATCGTGGGAGTTCTTCGATGTAGATGGCGTCCGTTTCATATTTTTAGGGTTTTTTTTGTCCGAATTAAATTTTAAATGCTACAGTTGTTTCCCATAGAAAAGCTGTGCAAAATTAACAACTATTTAATATAAAAAAGCAACCAAAACATGTTTTTATGCTTTTCGCCTGACTTTACGGGCCAGCCACAAAAATTATGAAGATAACTTTAAAGGAATGGAAGCTGCCGAAAAAGAAAAATGTCGACTCCTCTGGGCTACTGTACAATATAAACAAAGAACAAAAATAATAACTGTGCACTAACAACCAACCACATCAACCAAGTTTAGATATTTTGAACATAAAAAAGATGGGGGAGCATACTGAATGTGCTGCAGTTTATTATGCTAACACAATAAATGTGGTAAATGATTAGCACTTTTTAGGTTAAAAATATAGATAAAATGGAAAAGGTGGAATTCAGGAAAATAGAAATAAAAAAACACAGAATTTGGGGGGGAAAAATGAAATGGAGTTAGGAAAACAATACAACAGTTTCCCATAGCCACAGTTCCAAAGTGCTGCTTCACTGGAGAGAACAAACAGCACACTTCCTACTTCCTACAGCCATTCTGGTTCAGGCACAGAAAAGACTTCTGACACTGCAGGAGCATTGAATTCAAAATGAAGGTGGATGTATTTTATTGATGGATCAAAAGAATAACTCTTGATTAAGCTTTGCTTAGAATTCTGCAGAAGGAACCGTGTAGTTACAGGTTCCCAAAGACAACCGATGGCAGCTGCCGCCGCACCGAGGTAGAAAGAAGCATGGCAGCCAACGATCGTATGACAGCTAGCTTCTGTTAACCAAAGACACACAGTTAGCCACAGCAGCTAACGGATCTCAACACAAACATGATCTAAGTTCCCAAGAGACAAAGTCCATCTGGTAACTAGCAACAAGTTGTCAACCCAACAAGAAGACTTTGCTAGCAGACAGTCAACACAACAGCCCAGCTACTTTGTTTCTTCTTCAATGAAAGAGCCTCAAACAGGATGTGAAGATAAAAAAATAAAATCTTCTCATTTCGGGACTCAACGACCTACATTTAAATCACAGAGATTTAAATTACTTCACTTTAAAAGCAAAATATAATGGCACTTCCATAATGTGAGATCTTGTTAAACTTAAAAAAGGCAATTTGTCAAGAAACCTGCATGGAGCAGTTCATTTTTTCTTTCTGTGACAAGCTGAGAAGGTTTATGCCCATTAGAGCAGAATACCTGTACGAGTTGCTGGGATCACAGTATTCCTTTTCGATTGTCTCGTTATCAGGCAAGGCGTTCCACTGGCCTCCTTCCTGGACCTGCCATCTGTACGGCATCTTGTCGTGAGCTTTAAAACATTTGTCTGAAAAGAACAAAAAACAGACAAATAACAAATGTTTTAAAGAAGCAAAATAAGGAAAGTGTACAAGTCCCGTGGGGAATGACAGGCTTACCCTCATGCTTACAGTGGCCTTTAATGAAGTACATGCATATCTCCGTTTTATCTAGTAAAAACGGAAAAATGAAAAACAAAACACAAAATTAGCTTCTTTTTTGCAATTCTTTGCAGCATCATTTATTCCCATGATATAATTGGTGTATTTACCTTTGATATCATTTCCCGCTTGGCCACCAGCTGCACCAATCAGGTTTCCCCTCCTAGCCCTACCAGATCTCCCCCTCATATGGAGCCTCAACGCTTCTCGATTTGCGTAAACGGTCTTCAGCGAGCGAAGCATGTCGTTGGGCACCATCTTATCATGCAGGATCTTCTTCGGCTGAAAAGCAGTGAAGTCGTGGGCTCTGGAGCAGCTGCAGCTTCGGGTCAGGGACTTCTCGCAGATGTGGAGTCTTTCACAAGCTAAGCCGCTCGTACAGCGGCCAAATTCTCCATCACCGTTATTGTAATCAAAACATATCTGAGGAACACAGTCAAGTATAGTGAAGTTGAGTATAAACCTTGTTGTTTCTAATGTGAAACTTCAAGAGGTGAGAATGTAAAAGCGTTGGTGGACTTACAGACGGCAGCATGCTGTTGTCGCTCTGCAGCAGCAGCGTACACAGCTCCGCCCTGCTCAGGCCCTCCAGCTCATGTTCCCTCAGCAGCCTTTGGTTGTACTCAGAGTTCAGAACGTGGGGGAAGCTGCAGCCTCTTCTGTTGGGGAGGAAGAGGCAGGTTTTCATGGCAGATTAAAGTCTCATTCAGAAAGCAGAGTTGTTCCCAAAAAAAAGAAAAAGATTCTTTTATCATTTTTAGCAAATGTCGCATCAGTGGGATGCAGGGTTTCCCCAGTCGTTGGGATATTACCCAACATCAACAAACTGTAGCTACATATATTTATTTTGCTGAATTTTCTCATATTTCATTTTTCTATTTAAATTAATTTACTGTTGTGCGATTCTTTTTACTAAGGGCCCGCCGATTGCAGCTTTCTGGTTGACTGTGGATTTCCGATCCTTAAAAAGCCTGACCTGTCGATTCCAGTTTTGGCCCATATTGCATTTTTTTTTTGTCTGAGATATTTGTTAATATAGCTAAAAAATAGCTGAGGTGGCAACTGTGTTGTGACTGTTGTTAACTGTAAACGTGTATTTTCAGTTCCTGTTTTTAACAGGTAAAACAGCATTTTGGTTGAATTAAAATGGCTTAGAAGTCAATTCTGAGGTTAAGATGTGATCCTGCCAGTGAAATGGTTTATAACATTTGAGTTGTAATAGCATTAAAACCCATGTTGAATTTACGTTGAATCTTGTCATGAGACTTTTGTTTTGAGTGCTAACTTTATAAGTGTTTAATGTAAACTGAAAATTTTAGAAATTAACAGCTTATTTTATTTATTTTTTCTTCTACACGCTCTTCTTAATATTGGTAACATTAAAGATAATATTCCTGCATTTTTTTTGTTTAGTTTACCAACATAGCTCCTTATAATACAAAAACATGCCAACTCCAAAAAGGTAAAACACAAAGCGATTATGTCACTAGTACAAGTTATGCCTCATTTATTGGATTATCAGAAGTTAGCGAAGGAAAACGAAAAACGAATGATTGGTTGCTTTTTGTTTTAACAGTCATTCAGATACAAGCAAATTGGTGTATTTTGTATTGGTTGGTGTAAAATTCGCCACTTTCAATCAAAATAAAAAGAAATTTCTACAACAAATGTCTATGATATGGTATGCAAATATATATATATATATATATATATATATATATATATATATATATATATATATATATATATATATATATATATTTGCATACCATATCATAGACATTTGTTGTAGAAATTTCTTTTTATTTTGATTGAAAGTGGCGAATTTTATATATATATATATATATATATATATATATATATATATATATATATATATATATATATATATATATATATATATATATATGGGCTCATGATAGGAGTTAGAAAAACAACGTTGAATGATATCACTCTGCTACTTTCAATTTAAATCAACTGTCAAAAACTTTTCAAGCATGTATTCCACAATTCTAGTCAAATTCTGAGGTCATACTGCCATTTCTCTCATGTCTGTTTATGTACTTGTTTGTCCGCACGTCATCAGATCAAGGGTTCTTTTTCCGCAGCACGTCAACGCACCGCAGGTAATCTGAGGCATTAAAACAGTAGCGTCCAGTTAGCTGCGACGGCTTCACTTTTAACTGAACAGGTTTATAGCTTGAGAAGAAAAAAGAAAGTCTGACAACCATAAGGCCACCGAGTTATTCACCTTTGTAGGAAGTGACAGGAGCCGGAGAAGAGGAAGTTTTTACACATGTGGAGCCCCCCGCAGGACCCCGGACAGGTTTTCTTCCTGCACAGTCTCAGGCTGGTCCTGGCCACCACTCTCTGCTGCCCGTTGCTGGAACACAAGGCAAACTTGCTCTGGTTGGAAATCACCTCAGTCGTGGACTCCCCTGGGAAAAGGTTGAACATCAACTCCTCGACATCAACTGCTCCTTGATTAGCGCAGATGAACTGTAATATTTGGGTCTCCATGGCTTCTCCAGGAGCCCTTTCCGTCCCGACGTCAGCTGTGGTTGAGGTGTCACTCGGGGCAAGGCGAGTAAGAAACGCCCCGTGTTGTTTCTGATGATTGGAAACCGAAACTGAACTATATTTAGACTGGCGTCATCCCGTAATGCTGCAGTTTGCCACTTGAGGGCGTTGTTGTGCAGAATGATTATTATTATTTTTTTTTACAGGGGTCCAAGGTTTCGGGAAAGTGATCCTGGGCTTCCAAAGAAAATGATGTAGAAACGATATAGTGACAGCAAGAAATATAAAGTGGAAATGATCACGTTGTTTCGTACTTCTTTTAGCTAAACAGAAGAAAGTAATGTATTTAATAACCCCCCTTTTATTGATCTATCGGGTTGGAAGAAAGCTCAGACGTTTTGAGGATTAATTTTTAAATGAACTTTTTATTGTTTCTGTGTCCAAACATTGAATTCCACAGAATAAATGTCTGCATTACAAGGAACCGATAGTTGATTTCAGTTATTCTCTTTGAGGCATGCTCATTTTTGATATTGCCTGTCTTAATGCCTAACATCAAGGTCAGACTGAGATTTTTTTAAATGACAATAGTCATAATTTGAGCTAAATAAAGATGCAATATTAGTGGCCATAGAATTACAACAAAGAAGTCGTCTTTATAAAAAAAACGATCGTCGTCAAGATCTGACCAGGCCAGCCCGTCAAGTTCATGACTGTCTCTTCCGACAGGCAGTCATTTCCACACTGACCTAGTTCTGTTACTCATCTAAAAGTTTAAGATTTGAAAACACTACAAAGGTGTTAATACCCGTACATTCACACACCAGTTCTGGTTCCTCTCATCTTCAAGTTTGCTGGTGATGACAGAAACTCAGAAGCAAGCAGCTCGTAATAGAAAAGAACTTTATTTTGATAAGACACAATCAGGTAATTACCATTTTGATTTTGTAAGAGGCACAAATGAATTTACTGGCTTAAGAAAGGCAACTTTGGCTTCACTTTTATTGTTATGCCTTCATATAATTTGATTAAAATGAGCAAAATGATTATGAAAAACTACACCAACAACAATTAGAAGATTTAGAGAGCCAATAAAAACTTCACAGCTAAGAAAAAGGAAAAACAAGTTTGGAATAAAAACAGATGCTGTAAGTTATCAAGGCTCTTAAAGAAATCACTTTTTACTTAGGAGAGAAGAAAAAAGCTCTCAATGTGGAAATAGAATCAGCACAATTATTGAATGAGTGCAATAATGTGTTGTGGCACAGGAGGCGCTGACGAGTACACTGATCCCTTTTTCGGAACTGGATCTCGTTTCAATAACCTAACCAACATCTGATGGAAAGTATTGTTCAACATGTAAAGAGACTGGAGCTCTTGGGAAGAACTTTAAAGTTTACATTTTTATTTTGTTTTTCCCTTTATTCGCATCTAAAAGCATCGAAACGATTAGTGTTAAAGCAACATGACATTTGGCGGGAACACCTGAGCGATTCTCTCCACTCATTTTAAACTCATCGTCCCAAATCAAGGCGTTGACGGCTACTGCTTATTAATGAAAATGTATTCATCAATACGACATTTTTACTTTCGTGGTCTTTTCCCAAGCGCCAACCATCGATATTGTTAATGCGACGTGGCTTCCTGATCCCAGAATACACGATTCTTAGTACGTTATTCAACGTGTTAAGTTAGGGCGGTGAGAAACCACCTTGTTGTTCGTGGTGTTTCTCAAGTCAAATCAGCGCAAGAATTCTGGACTTGTCTGATCTGAGTTATTAGATGCTCCTACATTGAAGTAGTAAGAGTCCACTTTCTCAAAAATAAATCCTCATTGGTTGTCGTTCACGCGGGAACAAGCTTTGACAACGCTCTACTTTTGCTCTTATTGTTTCAGCCTTTTAGTCCACAAAGGAATGGATTATTAACGGCTGGACACATGCGTCAGAATGAAAAACATTGTGTTTATCACGTTGCAATCCAAAACTAAATGTTTTCAAATCGATTGTAATAGCTAGACGGCATAAACTTTATGCGCCTGCTCCATGTCGCCTTCTGGTGTTTACTGATGTGTTTGTTTTATCGTAGCTAGATTACAGCGCCACCCACAGCTTAGGTATAGGTAATGTAGCCTACTTGTAGTGTCTTTGTGTGAATTCAAATTTGTAAAAAGAAAAAAAAGATGCCTTCATGAGCATCTTTTTAGAAACGTCAAATAGCTTTTTAGTTTACTGGATAAGATTCTTTCACTGTATCGTTCTTGAATTCACTGTTTAGCCTTAAAAAGCACGCTGGAGGTGGGATGCAAACACCAGTGGTGACGGTAGTGTGTTTGTGGCACTGATGGATGGATGCCCTTCGCATACAAAGTGTATGTCACAGTGAAAGGCCAGCAGTTTAGCCTTGTCTGGCTTTGAGCGTCAGTCAACAGAGTATTTAAATACGACCAACCGCCTAAAGAATACGCTGCTGTTTCTCTGACTTGGCCTGTCAATGAAAACTGAAGCACTGAATGAAAAATCATTGCAATAGGTTGTTTAAAATGAAAACATTTCTAATATTTCCATTACACTGTAAATTTAGCATTCGCATGTATTTCTATTTATCCTTCTGTTTTTGGAATATTTCCTACATATGGGTGGAATATTTTTAAGCCCATTTCCCCTTCTGACATATTTTTACCCTTCTGACCAATGTTAAAAAAAAACAAAAAACCTCACCGAACTCCCTTATCTGTTAAGACCTTTTTCCATTTCGTAGCTGTGTTTAGGCTATGACACAGGAATCATTTTTTTTGGTCGGCTTTGAGGGGGACAATGCAGACGAGGTGCGTTGGGAATCAAGTCTGGTTTGGTACAGTGAAGAGGTTGTACTGGGTTGATACGATGATGAACGGGTTGGATACGACGTTGCACTGGGTTGATATGATGATGAACGAGTTGGATACGACGTTGCACTGGGTTGATATGATGATGAATGGGTTGGATACGACGCTGCACTGGAATGATGTGATGAAGAGATGGTTTTATTCAACGCCGTAGTGGGTTGATGTGATGTTGTACTGGTTTGTTTTGACGCCACACTGGGTTGATATGATGAAGAGATGGTTTGATTCAACGCCGTAGTGGGTTGATGTGATGTTGTACTGGTTTGTTTTGACGCCGCACTGGGTGTATACAATGATGAACTGGTTTGATATGACGGTGTACTGGATTGATGTAATGAAGAGATGGTTTTATTCAACGCCGTAGTGAGTTGTTGTGGTGATGTACTGGTTTGATATGATGTGGCACTGGATTGATGTAATGAAGAGATGGTTTTATTCAACGCCGTAGTGAGTTGTTGTGGTGATGTACTGGTTTGATATGATGTGGCACTGGATTGATGTAATGAAGAGATGGTGTTATTCAACGCCGTAATGAGTTGATGTGGTGATGGACTGGTTTGATATGATGCGGCACTGGATTGATGTGATGAAGAGTTGGTTTGTTTCGATGCCATACTGGCTTGATGCACTGGCTTAGGAACAATCACTGGTTTAGGAACAATCACTGGTTTTGGTTGCTGTGCTGATGTACTACTAATTATGTCAACCAGAGGGTGTGTGGTCTTGTACGTCAGCAGGTACTCAGGATAGATCTGGTGCTTCTCAAAGATAACAAAAATAGAGGGATTTGCGATGTCGTTGACACAGCTGTCGTAGAAGTTTATGTCTCCTCCGTCTTTGGAAGGAGGTCGGACGTAGCTGGGGTCCCCTCCTGTGTAGCTCCCCACCAGGACACGAGAAACAAACATGGTTTTGACATCAGAGTCACCAGTATAGCTATGGGAGTATTTAGCGTCCCGAGCAAAGTAGCTTCCTGTGATTACAAAGAAAAAGATAAGTGAGAAGAGAATATATTTTGAAGGCATCTTCTCAAGTCAGACAGTGTGATCTCAACCTTCCACTAATATAAAAATTACCAGACACTCTAAAATGTCATTTGTACAGTGCACTGTAGATGCCCTGAACCATCACCTTTAACCCACCTTTGCCATAAGCTGTTCCATGAACTCCACAGATCCTCCAGTCAAAGTTGTTGAGACAAATGGCGTCGATGTGTTTCGAGTCAGTCCCATGAAAAAGTTGCTTTTCTTCCACCTCACGTCCACTGTTGTTGTTCTTCATCTGAGTCTTTTGCCTAAAGGTAAAAGTGTGGCAAATGAATGTCCTTTAAAAACATTTTCACAGAGCTAACGTACTAAGCTAATGTTGCCGAGCTTCCCCTCAAAGCTAAATGTTGACATGAGGTAGTTACTAGAGGATAAGTATTAAAAGGTTTCTTTTTAACAAAACATCAGTACAAAATCATCCGAGTTAACTTGGTCCATAGCATACATACCACTGAAAGACTTCCCAAAGCGCTTTGTTCTGAATCCTCTCTATCTTCAGAATATCGAAGCCTCTCAAGGTTGTTCGAAAAAGTGCTTCAATCTTTTGAAATTCATCCGAAGTGCGCGGGACAGCAACTCTCTACAATACACAGAAGCAGGAAAGTTTTCAGTGGCAGTTTGACTTCAGTCTACTTGATTTAAAGCTTCTGCCACAATTTCTGTTCTTGCCATGCATGTTAGCACATGGAACATAGATTGTGCAAGTTCAACCTTAAGAAAATCAAGTGGACTTTTAGGAACATAGTCTTGTCATACCTTTCACGTACATTAGAAAGTTTTGAAGTTCTCATGTTCTTAATATGAGAAGTGCATGTATCTTAGGATGAAGGGTGTGAAATAGTTTTCAACAAAGTCAGGATTGTGTTTGTTTTAGCTTTGGCCTTCTGGAAATTAAATACACACAATATTCTTGTTTACCAGTTCTAAATCACTTGCATAGTTATCAATATCCTATGAGTGCCAAGTTGTCAAGTAAATATTAACCAAATTAATCAAAGGAGGTCATGCTGTCACTTTCAAGCATCCAGGATCTTAAGTTCAGAGAACCTTCATCAGTGCAGACAGAGTGTTTGCATAGTGTTGCATGAAATCAAGAAATATTTTGGGGTATTGCTGTGAGTTGCAGCATTTTTTTTTTTTTTAAAGTACTGCACACATACATAATGTGGAAACATTGTAATTCACACACTTGGCAACCTTATTGAGGCCACAAATGCACCTTTTTACTGAAAGGCAAATGGAGATACCAACTGTGGAATCCCTTATCTTAGAGGATGCTGGAAAAGGACTTATATTACAAAAAAACAAAAACAAGTCACAAATATGACACAAAACTATTTTATTTACCAAAATAACAGTCTAGCTTTGTAAGATATACAGCAAAAACATAAAATGACACTGCCATAATTAACGGCACATCTCTTTTATAGATGCAAGTTTATGAAAAAAAAATTATTTCCTTCCTTCCCGTATATAATTTGAGACAGAACAAAAGACAAAGCATAGATACATTTTATGCTAAGTTGTGCTGCATTCAATGGATTTCTGAGACCTTCTGTAGACCCGATTGTCACTTAAACTTTATACTGACTCTTATCCCTCTTCTGTTTGCACTGGAGTTACAAAGCAAATAGCACTGATACAGAGATGGTGCAGGTTTCTATCTTTGTGGTTTTTGTTGCTTCTTATTAGAGTACAGTGGCAAGCGATTTTCTACTCTGTGCTCATACAGTAGACGTAAAATGCTTTGGCTAAAGTAAAAGTAAACAATTCAACTGATAGCAGAAGTACACCGGTAGTTTAAAGTACAGGATGGAAGTAGCACTGGATGAAACTCACAGTGAGCTCTAGGTCCAGATGAAAAAAACAAAAACAAAGAAGTTCCTAAAACCACTAAAATCACTACACAAGCTAATGCAACCAGACTGGTGTTCCTAAACAAAGTACGGTAAGGTTCTGTCCTGCATGCACAGATAGCAGATTCTAAATAAAATGCTAACAAATGGTCCCTTCAACTAAGACCCACTGTATTGCCAAACCGTTTTGTAAAAACATGAGGTTTGTGTTCCACATCACAAACACAGGATCATATGCAACATATATGTGTCCTTTATTTATTTGTAGATTTCAGAACATTTACAGACTATTTACACAGACAAATCCTTCTCAGACATTTCTGCTGTCTTCAGAAATGTAATACAGTTGCTTCATGTCTTACATCCCAACTACCACTGTTGTGTATTCAATATTCAACTTGAACTCTGCGTCTCAAAAAGCTCTATTCTTAGAGAATCTGATGCCTTCTTCATCGACATTCCTTGATAGTTTCATCCTTTCTTATGCTCAATTCTGGTGTTGATAAAGCGTCCAGATGATAACAGAAGAAATTTGGATGGACGCACAATATTCTTGTTTACCAGTTCTAAATAACTTGCATAGTTATTGCATTAAATTGAATCATGAATTGAAATAGAAATTCCAATGTGTTTTGTGTAATTTGTGGATATCGGATCACCTACTCCATACCTTTCTGAAATTGGATCAAAACCATAGATTTTCATTAGGAGAACAGGAAATGATTTCCTTCCTGCTCAATTCTCATCTCCCATCAGTTTTCTATCTGAGATTTCTCCCACTGAGCCGAATTTCTCTGGTAGAATTTGTACCAGGCCAATGAGCAGAATGAGAATTTGTGAACGATGACATAGATTTTCTGCACTGATTTAGAAACGTACTCTGCCTGCAGTTGTCGTTGTGGCAGTGGAGGAAGTGAACAAAGTCGTTCAGTCCGTGCTGGCCATGCTTGCAAATACTGAACTAACATTAACAGCCATCTTGTTTGGACTGGCACTGGGTGATTGTTTTACAGCACAGGGAACTTCCAGATAGATTCATAGCATTGAATTGGAGCCTTACAGAGGTAATGGACAAACGTTAGCGATTTTGTAAAATTTAAAATCTCAACAGAGTCGATGTCTCCAGGAAGCAATCATTTCTCAACAGCTAAGACCTTCTGGACAAAGCAAAGCACTGGACAAGGAGCGTTTTTTTTTTTAACCAGAATAAGAAAATTGTAACAATTTCTTATATTGTAACATTTCTTATATTCATCTATAAGCTTCTTGCACTTTTCTGGTGGGATTTTCTCCCACACTTCTTTTGCAATATGCTCAAGCTCTTGTACATTTGCAGGGCTCTTTTCTCCAATGGCAGATTTCAGCTCCACCCAAAGATTTTCAATTGGATTAAGATCAGAACCCATTGCTGGCCATTTTAAAACAGTCCATTATATCCCTTTCAGCCATGCCTGCTTGCTTTTGGAGGTGTGCTTTGGATCTTCGCCTCAAACCAAGTTTTCTTACTTGACAAGACGTTTAGCTCCAGAATTGCTTGGTAATCTTCTGATTTCATGATGCCTGTGATACAGTAAAGTCCTCCAGTACCAGATGCTGCAAAACAGCCCCACAGCATTATGGATCCTCCACCATGCTTGACTGTTGGTATTGTGTACATTTCTTTAAAGGCTTCATTGCGCCATCTATAAACAGACAACAACTGTTTGTACGAATTACCGAAAAGCTCCACTTGTGTTTCATCTGTCCATAAAATGTCCCAGAAGGCTTGAGGTTTGTCCAGGTTCTCTTTTGTGAAGATCAAGCTTACATTTTTTATGTCTTTTCTTTAGCAATGGGGTCTTCCTTGGCCTCTGTGCATAAAGCCCCACTTTGTTTAATGTGCAGCGTATGGTACTTGTTGAAACAATCACACCAGACTGCTCCAGGTTGGTCTTTAGGTCTTTAAATGTTTGATATGGTGTTTTTTCCACCATTCTGTCATCAATTTTTTTCTTCCCCCCAAGTCCAGGGAGGTTCTTGACCATTCCATGCCTGGAAAACTTCCTAATAACATTACGCACTGTTGAAACAGGGACACCAAGGTCTTTGAAGATGGCTTTATACCCTTTGGAGGTCTTGTGCTTACAAATGATAGCGTTTCTGGTGTCCTCAGACAGGTCCTTTGTCTTTACCATTGTCACATGTGAAGATGGACTAACAGGTGGCTTTTAAAGCACCAACATGATCATTCATTGGTTAATTCATGTCACATGTGTGGAGGTACTTCATCACAAGTGATCTCTATTTGTGATTTGCAACAGGTGAGCCAAATTGAGTTTTCATACTGATTTGCAGAAAAGGGTGCCAATACCATTGACATGGTAAACATTATGTTTTTATTTGTTTTCCTCATAATGTTCATCTTTTTAAATGTCTTTTTATCATTTTTATCATTTGCAGTTAAATGTTGTTTCACTTGATGAATTTCCTTCATATTTCATATCTATAATGTTCTATTATAGATATTTAAACTTCATGGGTGCCAATAATGGTGAGCAGGACTATAACTGACTTTTTAAAGACTCGAGAAAGATTGGCCCTCTACACCACTGTGCTTCTATCTGGAAAAAGAAAAGTATTCGCCCAATCCTACTTCCCTCCAGTCAGAGTGGAGAGGCAGGAAACCCTAACCCTATAGTGAGTTTATTATACCGAGAATCCTGTTGAAGGGATCTGCGTCTTGTCCCAGTGGTCTGGCACAGGAGAAGAATTTGCTGCAGGCTTTCTGCAGGAATAGATGGTGAGGACAAGTTTCAGATTGACTTAGTTGAACCATTTTAAAACATGGAGAACACATTCAGAACAAGAGGACTAATGAATAACTGCTTTTCCCCAACCTACCTGACTTTCTTGGTTCGGACATCAGCAGCAGAGACAAACAGAGGACGTCTGCTCACAAGCCTCTTAGTACCATAATGCTTGTTAGTTTGAATCATGTCTGAAGGGGAAAACAGACATACTAAACAAGGTTGCATTTATTTTTTTTAATTCAATTTCAAATGTCAAAGTCTTGTGTTTTACCCTGGATACTAAGAGAATAAGACTGGGAGCCAGCAGAGAACTCCACTTCACTCTCTTTGTCCAGAAACTTCTGCTCCAAAGTTTCACTTCTGATGTCTGATGATTTCCTTCCGGCGTTCTGCAACACAGTGTTGGTGGTTCTGGCTCAGTATGTAGAGAATCATATTAGAAGATGTGGCTCTGGTGTTCTCCAACAACATGGGATTCATTTAATTCCACAAATGAATAAAACTGGATTTTAAAAAAACTGATGTAAAGATGGAGTTTTCTAGCTAATTAGATGATTTTTATAAGGCAGCTTATTGGGGTGATTATAAATTAGTGTATGAAAGGACTGTTTAAAAAGAAGAAAAATATATTATCAGTTAAAGCAAAAATAGAGACAAGGAATTCTATGTTAGATTGATTTTACCGATTCCTCAAAATATTTCTACTGGCAGGAATCATGTACTTTTTTTTTTCTTGTCCCTGAAAGCACCAGCAGTAGCCACTGTTAGCCTGGATCACCTCAGCTGGCTCTGTTGCTGAGGCATCGTGTCACTACTTGTATCTTCTGTAGACATTCTGCTGACACGTCGTTTTTTTTCCTTGTTTATCTGCTGTTGGCCATCCCCGATATACGTGTAACAAGTGCTGTGCAGGTTTTTATGACATGGCATTGCTGAGGGCAAAGACTATAAACTTTGTTTATGTCATGTGTCCTCAACATGACTGCTCAGATATTTGGACTGCTATGCAGTATTCCTGAGGCTTACAGTTAAATCAGCTACATTTAACCTATTTTTTGGTGATATTAATTTCATTTAGTGAGTTCAAGAGTTTGGACCAACATTAGAAAACAATGGCGGTTTAGCAGCAAGCCTTGTGTTTGATTCAGATGCAAACTTGACTGCTTATAGTTTGTTTGCTCTTCAAACAACTCTCCCAAATAAACCACATCTATTCAATATTTTTTAAACCTTTCCATTATTATTTAAGATACTAACTGAGGCGTGGAGAGCCTGACGTAGAGCTCTCGGGTTCTTGTAGGGACACTCCACGCTCTGAGCTTAGAGTTGGATGTTTCCCTACTTGTGAACAATTTTTGCTCTATGATTACTGCTGTTCTCTTGCCACCCTAGTGTTGTGTTAACCCACCTACATGCTCCAGACTAGCAAACCGCCGTTACTTTTGCATTTGGCAGATGCTTTTTCGCTTACATTTTTTGAAAGCAGCTGTGCTTTTTTTTTTGTGACTGAACTGACAATAATGGACACTTTCAAAACTAACTTTTCTCAATTCTGACTTTGAGCACAAAACGTGTTTAGCTGTTACACAAGGACTTTGTGTACTCACATCTGAACCGTACAGGTTCCACTTTCCAAACTCGTCCTGCCAGTACCAGAGCCACTCCGTGGTGTGGATGAAGGTCGGCTCAACCAAAGAGTTCACCGTAGTGAGCCGCCGCACTTTGTTCCCTCCACGAGTCATGGTGTCAAAATGAACAGGCGGACTCCCGCTGCTGTAGACACAAAGCAACGCTTCAGTGAATCTAGAGGAAAATACCTGAGTTTTATATTCTGAGTGTGTTTGTCCATATTTATTTTAAGTGCTGCAATCCTTTTCCATTTTAGGATGATTGTCAATTTAGTGTAACTACAGTTTTAGCATAACTTCTGTTTCAGCATGAATTCCATTTTAACCTGGCTTTTGGTTTAACATAACTATCATTTTAGCATGAACTATTTTTTAGCATAGCTTCTGTGGTGGTTTTTGTTGTCGAAAGACTTTTACATTTTGTTGATCTTTGTGGGCCACCATAAATACATAAATAAATAACTGACAACAACAATAACTGCTCAACGACAGACTCTGGCCTCAGAATTCAATATGGCTGCTCACACGCCTTGTATATTCTTCTACCATGTTTGGGCAGAGGTAGTTTTATGTTTAGTTAATAATGGATAGTAATGGATAGTAACATTTTCCCACACAGAGAAAAATGTTTCAAATTGGACAATAAAGCATCTAACCAATTCTATTAAAAAATGTTTCTAGCTTGTCTGTTTCTTACTTCTAAATTAGTCTCAAACAGGATGTGAAGCTGAAACCACTAAAATTTAATTCACCAAGAGAAGTAACATGCTGATACAGACTTCACTTTAACGCTGTCATATTCTAAGATCCTGTTACACACTTAAAAGAGACCATTTGTCAAGAAACTTGCATGAGACCAAATAAAAACAGTTCATTTTTTCTTTCTGTGACAAGCTGAGAAGGTTTATGCCCGTTAGAGCAGAATACCTGTACGAGTTGCTGGGATCACAGTATTCCTTTTCGATTGTCTCGTTATCAGGCAAGGCGTTCCACTGGCCTCCTTCCTGGACCTGCCATCTGTACGGCATCTTGTCGTGAGCTTTAAAACATTTGTCTGAAAAGAACAACCACGAATGAGAACATCTGTGGCGAAACAAGGAAAGGAAACAGGTTCCATGTCGAATGACAGGCAGTAACTTACCATCATGCTTGCAGTAGCCTTTAATGAAGTACATGCATATCTCGGTTTTATCTAGTAAAAACAGAAAACACTAAATTAACTTCCGCTACGCACTTTGAATCATTATTCATTCCCATTATATAGTTGGTGTATTTACCTTTGACAGGTTTGTTTTTTTGTCTGCCTTTCAGGTCATCTGCTCCATTTCCCTCTTGGCCACCAGCAGCATTAATCATTTCGTCGGCAGACGCCCTTCGCATCCCTGGTTGGTTGCCGCCTCTCCCTTTATTCGCTGAAGTCCGATTGCGACTTCGACTGCGCTTTTTCTTTCTATTGCTGCTCGCCTCGGAGTCGTCAGCGGCGGCAGAGACGTCACTGTTTGACGAATTAAAACTCGCCACAAGACTCTTGCTTAGGTCGTGCAACTCACCCCAGATGTCACCAAAGGAAGTGCTTCGTAGCTGTGTGAGGAGATTACCTCCGCTTCCGCTGCCCCCTCTGCTTCCCCTCGGGCCCCTGGTTCCTCTGAACACCCTGTGGCCAGCTCTCCCTCCCCCTCTCGTTCCTCGGTTCCACTCCCTCTGCTCCATATTGAAATCACAGTCACTTCTTGAATCGAAGTCGTTGCCAGCGGCAGAGACGTCACTGCTGGATGACCTGAAATCTCCTTGCTCACTTTTGGTTTCATAAAGTCCATCTTCACTGACAATAGTCCACGACTCGAGGTCCACCACAAGGTCACTTTGGGTGGCTGTTTGTTGCTGTCTGGAGCTTCCTCTATTGCCCCTGCTGCCCCTCATACCTCTACCTCTGGGACCCCGGTTGCCTCTATTGCCACCTCTCCCTCTATGGCCCGGCCTGCGACTTGAATTTGGCCCGTCGCTGGAGCTGTAGTTGCCCCTGTGACCCCGAACAGCTTCGCCTCTGTTATAGAGCCTCAACGCTTCTCGATTTGCGTAAACGGTCTTCAGCGAGCGAAGCATGTCGTTGGGCACCATCTTATCATGCAGGATCTTCTTCGGCTGAAAAGCAGTGAAGTCGTGGGCTCTGGAGCAGCTGCAGCTTCGGGTCAGGGACTTCTCGCAGATGTGGAGTCTTTCACAAGCTAAGCCGCTCGTACAGCGGCCAAATTCTCCATCACCGTTATTGTAATCAAAACATATCTGAGGAACACAGTCAAGTATAGTGAAGTTGAGTATAATCCTTGTTGTTTCTAATGTGAAACTTCAAGAGGTGAGAATGTAAAAGCCTTGATGGACTTACAGACGGCAGCATGCTGTTGTCGCTCTGCAGCAGCAGCGTACACAGCTCCGCCCTGCTCAGGCCCTCCAGCTCATGTTCCCTCAGCAGCCTTTGGTTGTACTCAGAGTTCAGAACGTGGGGGAAGCTGCAGCCTTTTCTGTTGAAGAGGAATACACAAAAATTCAAAATGACCAATTTAAAAAGACGTGTTTAGCAATTTTAAAACAATTTTTGTAATTGCTGCATGAGTCCTAGTAAGGATGCACTGTTACAAAAATTTTGGCCAATAATGTTAACCAATATTAGTATTACTGTAATGGCCAATAACTGATATTGTTCATGTTCTATAAATGTTTCTAACCTTATGGTAATACAAGAAAGTGACCACGACACTTTTTGTGCTTTTCAGTTAAAAACCCCACATTCCTACGTTTTGGGCAGAAATGACTCCTCAGATAACTCTGGTACCTTGATTACTAAAAGTTCTCGAGGCAAATGGTCTGTTTGGAGATTTGAAGATGTGTAAACTGTGAATGCAGGATTGCCTGGTCCTGTTCTGAACTGGCTCAGGTCCTTTTTGACAGACCGGAACCATTTTGTTTATGCTCATAATCCTAAAGCTGAGCAAAGAAACATCACTTATGGGGTTCCTCAGGGCTCTATTGACGAGTCTCTTTCATTCAACATCTGTCAAACCAATCTGAGATGATGGGATTTATAAATACCTAAATTAATTCAATTAAATCACACTGCTGCACAACAGTTACTTACATCCTGTCGGCGTTGTCATTATAATTTCTGTTATGCCTAAACATGGCATTTAATGTTTCTTTCCATTTGTGTTGAATACTAATAAACTTGCCTCTCCCTGTTAAACACACATTGTTGGGATATTACTTGACATGAATTATCTATTGGTTCAAATATATACTTTTTTTTTCCTTTTGCGCTCAACTTATTCATTCCGTATCTAAATTTCTTGTGGGTTTCTTTTTTCACAACACACAGCAGCTTAGAAAAGGAAGGAACTTCATGCAGTGCTACATGGACAGATTTGGACTTGACCTTGAAGGAGGAACTGAATCGTTATTCCAAATTATTTTCTGCTCTTGCTTTAGATGGGGAAAAATTACAGCTTTAAACAATGACATACTTGAATTTTGTCTGAATTAAAAAAAAAAAAGAAAAAAGAAGAAGGTAAACTATAAAAGAACACATTGTGAAATTTGTGTGGTGATAGTGTCAAAATCCATGTGAAATTTATTTTGAATTTTTCCAAGACACGTACGTTTTGGGTCATAACTTTACACATGTTAAAGGGAAACTAATGTCAGCCCCTTTCTTAATTTTTGACTTACATTTTAAAAAGTCATTTTCCTGATTTTAATTTTGAATAGGCTTTAATGAATTGTGGCAACTGTTTGTGGGCAGTGATGCCACTGGTGATGAATAAACTTAGAAAGATTTAAGTGCCAGAAAATAAAAAATCTGATATAAAAGAAACTTCAAAATGTCAAGCTCGCACATATTTTGGATTATATAAGTGGTATTACATTATAAATGAAAAATATCAAATCAAATGATTAGTTGTTTTTTGTCTTACTGGTTGGATTAGATCCTAAACACACCTTGACTTTGAGGATACTTCTCTGTCATAACAGCAGTAGGTAAAGCTAGCTTCCACTGTAGAGAATAAAACAATTAGCCAATAATGTCACTGTTAACTTAGAGAAAAATATTACAGTCAAGCCCTTTCAGACACGTCATTTCAAAACTCTACTTGGATTATAGCGTCACACTGTCATTGTCTGATGGTTTTCGTGTGCTCGTCAGTCTTGCGCCACAGATCATCTTTTACCCCAACACTTGAACGCACCGCGGTCGACAAGGCCTTTGACCAGACAAACTAATAACTCCAGCTCGACCGTCGAGTTAGCTTTAACAGCCTGGTTTTAACTGCATGAGTAAAGACGTGACCACCTTCTCGTTTCCCTTTAAAGCGGCCCCTAACGTCACCGAGTTATTCACCTTTGTAGGAAGAGACAGGAGCCGGAGAAGAGGAAGTTTTTACACAGGTGTAGACTCTCGCACGTCCCCGGGCAGTCTCTCTTCCTGCACAGTCTCAGGCTGGTCCTGGCCACCACTCTCTGCTGCCCGTTGCTGGAACACAAGGCAAACTTGCTCTGGTTGGAAATCACCTCAGTCGTGGACTCCCCTGGGAAAAGGTTGAACATCAACTCCTCGACATCAACTGCTCCTTGATTAGCGCAGATGAACTGTAATATTTGGGCCTCCATAGCTTCTCCAGGAGCCCTTTCCGCCCTGAAGGCAAGAGGCGACTGCGGCTCTGGTCCAACAGGAAAGGGAAAAGCTCGGTGTCGTTTCTGCTGATTGGAAACCGAAACTTAACCTTTTTTAGGTAATACTGCAGTTCGCCACTTGAGGGCGTCATTGTGTAGCATTATTTTTCGCAACCTTTCAGGGCCGTTTTGCTTCAAGACAGTTCTGTGCCTTAAAAGTCAACCATGTGGAGTCGGAAGAGTTAAAAACGACGAAATTTCCTTCGTCTTTAGCCTTAAAAGAAGCGTTTCCTGACAGAATCTCCTATTTTCCAATCTCCCTCAGTGCCAAATAATACTGACCTCATTCCATCCATCCCATACATCCAGCTGTGGTTTTGAATTTTGCTTTGATTTTTTTTCTGCTCTTTTTTAAATTATTTTTTTTTGGTAATTATAACATCTTTGGATATGGTGAAAGTTTCACTTTTTAAAGATGCTCTCCCATGTTTTTGTGCCTAAACCTGAAATATGTCTGATCTAAGACCCATTTCGGCTCTGTTTGAAACTCTGTGAACCATTATTCAGTCAATTTTGTCATGTTAAAACCACAAACATCAATGTATTTTATGGGATTCGTGTTTTTTGTTCTTTTACACAAACGGCTGTCGTGCGCAAAGGGGTCATTTATACTAATACGCTCAAATAAAACCCAATGGAACATAACTTACTTACTCAAATAGTGTAGAAGCATCTAACCGCCAGAGTTAGGAGATCTGATTGAACAGAAACGTGTGAGAAATGTCTTAACAGTAAAATGGAAACCCTTAGTGGGATGTTTGAGTGTTGTCTTGAGTGAGATGGAGAGTTAGAGGAAAGCTTTTCTTGTCTTCTTATTAAGTCGTATTTTGCAAATAATTTTTTAAAAATTGGACAGATTCAATTGAACATAAAGACCTGCCCTGATGTGTTGTGAAATAAACTCACAGAGTGGCGACACCCAATGGAGATGACGAGGTACAGCAGTCCATTCTTTTATTTATATGTCCATCCTTCATCTTGCCCCTTTTTAAGATCAGTCATATATGACAAAAACATCATAAAATTCTTCATTTTTACAGCAACTGTGGGTTTGTGGGTATAGTAGTCGTCTTGTGATGGGAGGGTTGTAAGTTTGATTACATGCTTCCTCCTGCCACATTTCAGGCACTTAACCCCAAAATCTACTGATGTATGTATCGGTGTGCGCGAATGGGTGACTGAGACTCTGTAAAGTGCTTTGAGTGGTCAAAATGATTGGAAAAGCTTTTTGAAAGTCCAGTCCATTCAGCAAATTTCATGTATGTTTCTGGTTTGAAGGTATTCCTCCATACTGTCAGAGGGACAGTAAGTTATATCAATGAAGTTTACTTCCCCTTACATTGCTTGTTAGGTGTGAAACTGACCAGTCAAAAACCCCCCCACCCCAAAAAAACTATTTACACATTTTTCAGTGGGACACGTCCAAAAATGGGTGCTTCCATGCTGTGGGAGCGATTTTCTTCCAATGGCAGGACAAACGTTATATACCTTAGCTATTTTGAAACTTTGGGTTGTTTTGTCACATAAAATCACAAAAGAATACACAAAAGGGGCAATATTGTGCATTTTCCAGGGAAATAGTGCAAGTTTACAGCACAATGAAGCAATTGTTACCGTCAGTTACAAAAATTCTATCTATATCAAATATTACCTAAAAGAAATTTGATGTAATTTAAAGCCTTGAAATTGGGCATCCGTATTAGCCTTTAAATGTTTTTACCAGTTTTTCACTAAGTAGCTTATATATTGAGCTCAACAAATGCGCTGTTCCACCGAACTATTTGGTTCTGGCTAGTCTGAAGGAGCTGAGTGAGCGAGTTGCAGGGGAGAGGGGGCCGTGAGGTGGAAGTTTGCAAATTGCAGCTCGGAGGAGGAGTTCCACCTTGAAGGCGGAGCTAGTTCCACCCAGGCGTTCTGCACAGCTGAATGGTTGCCATGGGAGATTAAAGGATTTCTCAAACATACATGAAAAAAATCAACACTCCACTTACGTCTTTGATGAGGGAATAATATAATAATAATATTATAACATGATGTAAAGCTCAAAAAAGTTGATTTAACATAATACTGCCCCTTTAAAATATTTTTATATTTCAACATGAGAAACTCAGGTATTAATACTTTTGGAATGCACTCCAGGTCCACTCATATTGTTTATACTTTTGCTGTTTAATTTTGCTCAACAGGGTCTAATTAAAGTATAGAGGTTAAGCCCATTGTGTAACCGCATTTGCTTTAAGCTTTGATTTAAGGAGTAAATAGAAAACTAGTCTGTGTCAGTGTTTCTGACTCGGCTTGTCGCTGTGTGTAGGCGCGCGCGCGCGCGCGTGTGTGCGTGTGTGTGTGTGTGTGTGTGTGTGTGTGTGTGTGTGTGTGTGTGTGTGTGTGTGTGTGTGTGTGTGTGTGTGTGTGTGTCTTGCAAAGAGATCTGCCGCGATTTCCTGCTTCGGGTTTCCCTTTAAAAGGGGGCAAGGCTCATTGCTGGGAATTCACGTCATTTCGCCGTTTTACACACATCCAGATCAATGAGAGAGAGACACACAGAGAGAGAGACAGAGAGAGAGAGAGACAGAGAGAGAGACAGAGACACACAGAGAGAGAGACAGTCACAGAGAGAGAGAAAGAGAGGAGGAGGAGGGCGGAGGGGGTGTTTCTCTCTTCCAGGAAGGGATTATTAACCAGCGCGGTGCCGACATGTGAAAGAAAACACACGAAAGACAAAAGAAGTTTTCACACCGACAACAGCCGCGCCATGGACCGGGCAAGCAGATAAAGAAGACAGGGGGGAAATACAAGCCGAAGAAGCGGGGCTACAGGAGAAAAACAACTTATTCCATAGAGACGAGACGAGCGCTCGGTGTGCCACTCCTGCCGCTGCAGCTGTTCGGGCTTCTGTGAAGGAAAGTGACCGACACAGGCAGAGAGAAAGAGAGAGAGAGAGAGAGAGGAAGCACGACGGAAAAGTGGAAGGAGAGGGAGAGAAGTTGTCGGGAAGATAATGTCTGAATCCTCCTCCTCTGCTGCTGCGAACAAGGTAACGCCGACCGCCGGGCTAACCGAGCTCCTCTCCTCCGGCAGGAACACTTTCCGCAAACAAGAGAAGAGAAGCTCGCGCCGCGGACGCACGCGTCTGTTTTTGTTGCTCATCTGTTGCTCGCGGCTCGCTCCACGCGCTCGGCTCGGCTCGGCTCGGCTCGCGCTCATGATGATGGTGGTATCGATGGGAAGAAGAGGTCGTGACTGTCGGGAACCGTTTGATTTAAAACACGGGGCGAAAGGACCGCGTGAGAACAGGAGCATACAAACGGCTTTATCAGAGTAAGAGCGGACTGAACTCACTTCACTAACAGCGCTGGAAAACCTCAACTAACGCGACTGTAGCCCCGCACGAAAAGTGGGGATTTCACATCCAAAAGACACGTCGAAAAACAACATTTTAACCTGAATTCGAATGACTGCAAAAACCATGTGTGAGTTTAAGGTTAAAAATTGTAGTTACAGTGTTTTAAAAGCTGGCGTAAAGGTCATGTTGTAAAAACCAAGACTTTATTTTGAAACGCGTCAAAGCATGCGACTCAAAATTACACCTTTTTTGCCCAGAAAGAAAGTGCCTGACCTCCTTTTTGCGAGTTAGAATAAATGGCCGTTTATTGACTTGTAAGAGCCCCTTTATCCACAGGAAAGAGTCATGTTTGTTTTTTGTGAAACATGGTGTTGTCTATGACCACAGAAAATGATCTGCCTTGAAGACAGCCAAAAACCCTGAAATTATTAACACATTTTCAACAATGTCTGATGGAGCTGTGACTAATCAGGCACCAAATCAACAGACTTCTTCTGCTTTGTAGGTCACAATTTACTCCAATTTCTGCTCATCTCCATCATAATGTAATTAAAAAGCAAAATCAAATGATATTCTGGCTATGTTTGATTTTGTTTATCATGCAATTTTCCTGATGGCTCAATACGGTATAGAAAGTAAAATACTGATTTTGAGGGGATGACATGGCCAGGAGCATAATTACTAATCAAGCGAATTGAGGCAACTGCTTACAGTACCTACTAGAAATAACTAGCTACATAAGTGACACACAGCAGGGATATGAAACGACTAGTCCTAGTCCAAACATAGATTTGGTTTTCGAATGAGCCAGAACGACTTATTTATAAAGCATAATGATCAAAAAAGAATCACCAAAAAGCAGAACAGATTGAGACAAATTTCCTTTGATGTGCTCTGATGGGTCATCTGCAGGTTGAATACTAAAAACAAAACCAAAATAAAATTGTTTTCTTTATGTGTTGAACATGTCAAAACTGAAAACGGAGAGTTTCACCTAAACTTTGATGCACATTTTTGAGTAGGTCCATTTTTTAACTACCAGTGCTTCCTCGTCTATAAAAGCCTGAAGAAAACAAGAATGAGAAAGGCAATATATCAGACCTGATATTAGTGATTTTTTTTTTTAATAATGAGTTATGACTTTTAATACTCTGATAACCATCAGCTGATAACCATCAGCTGAAAACCATTTGATGTGAAGTGACTGATCAGGCAGGACATTTGAAATTCATGATCTAGGTCTTATAGAAACCCAGAAAACAGTCCGAAGTGGCAGATGTAGAGCTAGAAATACCAAGGTGTCGTCAGTGTAAAATGTCTGGAGGCAGTGCGAGCTTCTCCGCGACCGGCAGCGAGTGATGTTGCCCTGCTTGTGTGGGATGCTCATTACCGAGTCTGATAAGCGTTTGACCGTCCCCGAGAAGTTCCACCTCCGGCAGCTGGAGAGAAGACGGCTGGCCAGCTTCCCTTCCCTCCCCCACCGTTCACCTTCTCATGAAGGCTCTGCTCCATCACAGGTCACCTTCCCTTTGACTCCATCACATGACCCAGTCTTGACCGACCCAATCCGAGCCGCTGAAGACTCGGGGAAGTGAATTTTTAGACAAGCGGCGAGATGGGCCTTTCCTTTCCAATAGGAGGAAATAGGGGAATGAGAGATTATTGCTTGGCTTCCACAGGAAATTCCTGGTACATGCTGTTGGTATGTAAGGCCTGTCAGTGGCTGGATAGTGACAGGAGGCTGGAACCCAAAGGCAAAGCTTCAAATATGTCTGGAATATGTCTTTAGTCAAAAGAAGGGAAGCTAATGAACGATGGACTCCTTTTTTTTAAAATCAGGACAAATAAACTCCAGAGACATAAGAAATAAGTGACAGAAATTGTTCATTGTTTGCTTGATAGGTTGTGTTTTACTAGGAAAAAAAGCTAAGAAAGGAAACATCCTATAACTTTTCAAAATCCTGCAATAATTTATCTAGGAAAACCTAAAATGTAAAAGATGGATTCACCAGTTAAACAGCCAGTTATTAAAATCAGACAGTTTTCTCTTGACTGGCTTTGACCGATAATCGGTCGCTCAGATTGAACTTTTTTTTCCCACCCTATTCAGTAAATGCATCACAGCTGAAAACTTTGAAAGTCTGAATTTGTGTTAGGTGTCTGTACCGGATCAGCTGCCACATACTGAGTACATTAAAGACATACGCAGCAAACTTCCAGTTGATGCAATAGATTTTCACCACGATTCACTCCCGATCAACATCTTCTTTTGATTGAATGTGACACAGTGAATGAACAAATGAATTAAAATACTGATCTCCAGTTTTCCTCCAGGTCTAACATTCGAATTTCAGTTTTATTTTACATCACTTATTTTCTGGCTTGCACACATTAAACATCTTCTGCAGGTTATTTTATGCAGGTAAGATCTAAGATTACGAAACGATCCCCACTCATGCACCAACTCTTTTATTAAAAGATAGTTAGTGTTGTAATTGCCTTGGTGGTATATGGAGAATCTGCTGTTCAATAGAGACCTTTATCTGTCTTTAACGTCTCAAGACATTACCAGCTTTCTACTTGTTCATAAATGTCAAACTCAACTTTGTGACAATCATAAAATGCAAACTCTGGTAGCAACCATAATGTCAATTAAATAGCTGATCAATGGTGATATTTTAAAAACAGGGACTGAAATAATCCCAAAATATTGGCAGAATATCAATATGAGTACTACACCTGAATCTTAGGAAACTGTGCTTTGCTCACAAAGATATATTCTGATATTTCAATCACTAAATATGCCTTAATATTATTATATTATACGCACAATGGAAACCATCTTCATATCATTTCTGGAGTCTTCTTTTCTTATGTTCTTGGGGGAACAGCCAATCAGCACCAAGGAAAGTGAATGCACCTTATAGATTGGCTGCTTTGCAAATGGTGACCAGCAGCGTATCAAATAGCATTTTTGCATTTATACCAGCTTCACAAGATACATTTTATTTTGAATTTTTAGACATGCGCTACAAAAAACAAAACAAAAAAAGCAGTGGACAGGCAACTTTTGTGTGAATAATTTGGAGTCACATGCGACATATCAATACCAATGTCCCTACAATTCGGCTAATTTACTCATCCCTAATGTAAACGCCTCAACAAATGGCATGTGCAAAGTAAAACAAAGCTTATGCAAATGAGTTTGCAGGTGTTAAATTCGGATCAGCTCATTGGATGTTAAAAAAAAAAAATGGTATCGGTTGATAAAAGTTTGACCCATGCATCTTCAGTCTCACTGCCTTGTTAAATAATCATGCTTTGAAAAATTGACTGAAAAATTGAGTGTATGTTATCAAAATCACAAGATTAATTTGCAGGTTGATATGAAATCAAGGTGAACTTTGCTGGGTTTTTTTCGTGCTTCCTGGAGAAGCTCTATGAAGCTGTCAGTGTGCCTCGTTGGACACTGAAGTTTGGCTATTTCACATAATATTTAACTTGTTCAAACAATGTAAGAGCCGTCTGGCAATAAGTTACCCTTAAACAACTGAAATGTCAACAATTTTTGACATTTCTTGTGATGATTTCAACAGATATTTTCTGGAAATGTCAAAGCCTTTACCAGATTTTCTTGTTTTTGGAAGTGCTTAACCTGAAGTTAAATCGAAGTTTATTGTGTTTGTTCCTAAGAGTCTAAAGTTCAGTCTTGCCCGACGGTGCAGAACCTCGGTGTCCTGCATAGCAACACATGTGCTGAAGCATGTGTGGCATTCTGTGTCCTAAAGCCTCCAGAAAGCCAGTTCATGACTCAACAGGGCAGCGTAGCGGTTTATTAGTGCTGCATTTTCCTCTGGCTGCAGCGGTTGCTGTGGGAGCACGGCGAGGCGAGGCGAGGTGAGCCGAGGCGGGCTGGCGGCTTGGCGGGGCGGCTGTTTGGGTTCAGGGCCGGTGCATCTCTCGGAGCTTTGTGAGCCATGCTTTGTGTCTCTGTGTCTATTCATAGCAGGAGAGGAGCTCTTTCAGTCCTTCCGCGAACCTGCTGCCAAACTCCACTTCCTCCCCCGTCCATGCTCCCGCCGCGAGGCCAGCCAGCAGAATGGAGGACGAGCCTGCCAGGCTGCCTGCACACCTGCGTGAGTCATAAAAAAAAAAAAACCCAACACACACACACATGCAAAACACACGGTGACTCTCCCACACACGTATCGATCGCTTGGTCATCTGAACAGGACAGATGGGCAGATTCCCCACCTCATTTCACTCTTTCGGCTTTTCATCGCTTGGCCCACGTAGTGACCCTTTAAATCGGTTTATTTTCTTTTTCAGACACAAGAATCAGTTGATATATGTGGGTGGGATTCTCCCGTTGACACAGTTTGAGCTTCAGGAGATTGCAACGTCACGGAGAAGCAAAAACACCACCATAATTTCCAAATATTACAGAATATAACCCATCATTTCCGATCAGCCCGTTTTCACAGCAGAGGTCAAATTTCAGAACCTGAACTGATGGACCTACTGCACTGGAAAAAGCAACTGTACCTGCGTTTCCATTGACCGCAACATTTCACAAATTGGAATTACAAAAATAAATTTGTTCAATGAAAACATCCCAACTTAAAAAAAAAAATCACTTTTTTGATAGAGAGTTTTGGTGCTAGGAGGTGTTAGCTTTTTTACCCTTCTGTAATGAGTGTCATGCGCAAAAAAGCCATGGAAACACTTTTTTCACATCACACAAGTCAAATGATCGACAGCTGGATGTTACAGCTGGCGGAAAAGATGAAGACGACAGGAAGTGGAGGAAGGATGATGGCGCAGCATGTTTTTTGTTTTTTTTAATGACTTGCATGAAGGGACCTATTCCTATGTGATTTTAATCGTGTTTTTTAATTAATACAAACACCACAATTGTGAAATAGTGATTTTCCCACATTAGTGGAATATCAACAGAGTTTTACACACTCTTGTAATAGAAACGCATCCATTCAGGTAACATAGAACTGAGGAAAACAGGCCTCAGAAAGAACGTAGAATTTAGATGTAGAGAGGGAAGACACTGCTGGAGGAGGGGAGCAGGAGGGCCGCGGCGGCTGACAGCTTGTGGAGGCGGAAGAACGTGTGGTGCTCACATTAATCTTGGTTTCACGTTTTAGCTCAGCCCATTCATTACATAAAATCTTTATTTCCCCCCTTCTTCTAAGTCTCGAATTAGAGATGTCCTTGATTGGTGTGGTATGTACCGACAAAATGACTTCATCTGTTTGAGAAACTGCAGTAACAATGACTGCTGCAAGTGGAAAGACGAGAGGCAGCGCTGTGGAATAGAATGAAGTTGGATCAATCTCACATTTTTCCATTGTTTCTAAATAGATCAGGTTCACAACAGCTGAATTTTCCTCTTTGAAGACCAGCAGAGCTTCTTGAAGCCCATATATATAGAAGCTTGGAAAAGTAGAACACAATTTGTCTCCAGAAACGCTTCTTGCTCGCCTTTTTGAAACTAATTTGAAGTCAACTTTCAGTTACATATGGAAAACTTAAGACAACAAAACATTGCTTAAGCACAAATACGTGATGTGCTAACATTGTTTAGTTAGGGAGACCAGAAAAACCACTGGAGGCAGCATTTTAAATTTACAGAAGTTAAAATGTCTCACATAAACAAATGTGCGCAAATTATTGTTGATATTCCACTAAGGTCAAACAAATACTATTTCACAATTAAAACACAATTATAATCACATGCGAACCAGTTTGTTCATATGAGAAGTCATTAAAAAACATGAGGGGCCATCATCCTCCTAGCATTTCCTGTGATCTTCTGTTTTGTTTGCCAGTGATAACATCCGGTCGTCGATCATGCGACTCCTGTGATGCGAAAAAAAGTGATTCCATTGCAGTTTTGTGAAATACACAAAAAGAGACCACCTAATCCTTGCTCAAAAAACTTTTTTTTTATCAAAAGACCTACGAGTTTTTTAAATTGGCACATTTCCTTATTTTTGGAATTTCTATTTGCATAATTTTCATGTCAATTGTTCTCACTTGGAAACCCGACTGGATGGATACTAAATAGGCAGTTGGTACGATTCCATTCCTACAGTTTAAAGACATTTTAATGAGATGCCCGAGAAAGTAGTTGAGTGATTGGAATTTTCTGCTGTCATTGTGAGTATAGACTAAAATTTAGCACGATTTAGCACCTATCTGCCAGAGTTTGGTGTATTTCTGTTATAATATACTCGGGCCATGAATTGTCACTGAGGGATTTCATCCTTCTTGTGGGGATGAAGGCATTTCTCGAAGCGGTGCTGTGCAAAGCAAGGACTTTTTTACTGGAAACGATAAACATAAGAAAGCTTTGGGAAAAGGTCTGTTTTGATTTGGCACAGAACGTCAGTTTGTTAGTTTACTGGAGAGCTCCTTTGATTTTCAGATCATCCATTGTTTGACATTACTGGGAGCCTAAATCGGTGTGAACTGCTGAGAGGAACTTAGTTTCTATTGGTTCCTGTGAACACCTAGAAGGGAGTGACCGCTTACTCTTCGGCCAGAACCAATAAATACTAACTGCAGCTTTTAAATGTTCCTTAATTGGTTGCATTGAACTTTGCAACAGCAGAATGTTTATTTTGCAGCTCGGATTTGGCTGCTTATGGTCATTCATCATCTCTCACCCAATGAAATGGGAGGCGAGGCTGGAGCAGGGCCAGAAGATAATCCAACCGTTCAAAGAGTAACCCAGACCCGCCGGATCAGTGCACCCGTCAATGTTTAACCCGCGTGTTTATTTATTTTTTTCTCACAAGTGTGAAGTTCAGGGCTTTCTGCAGGGCGTTAAGACTGGCTGTAGCTGGATGAGACGAACAGGAAACTCCCTCAGCGCACTTCCTCTTTTGCATTGTTGCAGAAAAAGGAAGAACGCTCAACAGGTCCGCGTTGGGCTTCCTGCCGCGCGAGCCGTCGGGTCAGTTCACATCCGCAGACATGTGGAAGTTCTACTTTGTTTTTCAGTCATGTGTCAAATAAAAGCTCTCAGCGCGCCGACCCGTGTCGCACTTCAGGCCGGAAAAATGCCCCTTCTTTCATTGTTTGGTTTGAGGCTTCTGCTGGCGGGGGATTCCTTCTCCTCGCTCGAACAGAAGGTGGCTTGTCTCGGCCGTGGCCGATCCAAAAACACCTCTGCTTGTCCTTTCTCCAGTTTTCTGTGCAAACAGCACATGCTGGAAAACAAGCTGCCCATTAACCCCCCACACTCTGAGTGAGAGAATATCCTGAGGGGAGGCCGGGGTGGAGGGAAAGAAAAAAAAAACAGAAGATGAGAAGGAGGAGGGGGAGTGGGGTGAAAAAAAAAGACAGAAAGAAAAAGAATGAGGGAGGAAATTGCAGTGTGGGCAGAAATCCGCCTTCTCCATTTCCTGGGGAGGAAGTGGATTAGATCGGAGAGAGTTGCAGCCTGCTCCTCACACTGAAGAATGCTACCAGGCTTGATTTTTAACCCTCTCAGTCACACTTCCCTGGAACGCTGCAAAGGTGCATTCAGAAAGACTTTCCTTTGCTAACAATCTAAAAAAAATGTCCATAGTATAGATAGTCAAGGATGCAGGGTGTTCACTTCTTTAGGTTATGAATTAATTATAACATTTATCTAAGAAAGTTTCTGACAAAGAGATTTCAAAATGACATCCCATCCTACCTAACCAAGGTTTGATGATTGTCCTAGTAACAACATCAAAGCTATCTAAAAATCTATATTTTCAGCCAGTATTGACGTTTTATGCTTGCCTACAGTAAATTCGGGCCACTGCTGAGTGATTCGGCTGGTATTCACACTGCATGATAAAATGCCACAGAGTCACTTGCCTGGTAAAAACCAGATTCTGGTTCTACGCTTTGCTTTGTGCAGAAGGCCTGCACCTCTTGGGAAATGCTTGTTTCCTGTGGATGTAGCCTCTGTTGAAGCCCAATCGCTGCAATGTACATAACAAGCCAGCTCAGTGGTAAAGGAAGCTAACAGAAGCTAACAGCAAATGCGTGCGCCGTAAAAAGCTAACATTCAGCCTAGCCCCTTCCTTTGCTATTAGCAGAGCCAACTGGAAAATCAAACTTGTATGTGTGAAGTTGAGCAATAACATCACCGGCAATAAAATGTCGTTAACGTTCCTCTTGCTCTAACTTTTACTCAGTATTTGGAAGCGCAGCCAAAACCGACTGAACGGCTATAGTCACTTCCTCTGCTGGCGTTGTTACAGGCAGACTACGATTCTAAAACGGCGCGGAAAATCAACGCCATTGTTCACAACTGTTTGCTGATTGACCCGGTTGAAACTTAACTGTAGAAATCCAGCTCAATGGAAGAAATCCCAGCTGGACCAGTGAAGGGATGTGAGAATTAAGCAGAGTTGACTTGGAAATCAATGACCTGTCCTCATAATCACAGTACCTGCAGATAATTTGCAAGCAAAATACTTAGATTGCTTTTATTTGAAAAAGAATCCCCAGTATATATTTTTTCTGCTCCTGAAATAATTCACGTTCAGAAGCATTTTATTGATGCCAAAGGGAAATTAAATGTTGTACCGCACATCAATTCAAATTCTTCAGCGTTATTGTAGATAGCGATGGATGTTGTTGATATTGATCATTTTAGGCATATTCTCATTGTCCATAACATTTATTAACTGCCCGCCTTTTTCATGACTGGAATTATTTCCATACAGCCAAGTTTATCTTTGCTGGAATCAGGACAATAAAGTAGTAGCCTTCCTTCAGCCAGCTGAGCAGCAATATGTAGCCCTACAATACAATAAACTGAAAAGGTCAGGAATGACCTTTTCAGTTTCATATTGTGCTTATTGCACAATATAAAAAGCCTACAAAGGCTATGGAGGAACTGAAGACCTGGATTTTTCTAAAATCCAGAAAATATTAGGGACTCATAATATATCAGCATTAACATTGGTATTGCTCATTTTAAGCATATTGTACATATTTAAATCTTAATAAATGTGAAAATGATATTTTATTTATTTGTCATTCTGCCTCGTAAAGCACACTGAAATAGATGATGACACCTATGGATAAAAGCAGAAATCAATACAAATAACTGACTTTGAATCAAATTGTGAGC